CTGTCTCTCTCTCTTTTTTATCTCCCTAATTTTCAAAATTCTTTGCCTCTTTGGTGCTAAAAGGAAGTAGCTGTCATTCTCCTTCCAAGATTTCAAAACTATATTATGATTGCCCACCGCTTCAGCCTTTTAACTTTATCTCAAACATGGCAAAATTTATGTTCCTGTAGTTTTCCCCCCATTGAACAGAGTATAATAGCCGCCCCTGTGACATTCTGGTTCACTAATTGTCTTCTTGCCTTTGTGTTTTTTTTCCTATAAGAAAGTTGTCTTTTCCTATAGAGTCTCAACCTTCCAAAATGAATTTTATACCTTAATAAATTGAAGTTTAAAAAAAGTGAAAATGTATAATTACAATTTGTTTAGAATGAATAGAAATTACTTAAGCTACACATTGTTTTCTTTAGAAGTTATATAAGAAAATATTAAGTTTATTTTGGACGGATAAAAAAACGTAGGAAGTTTATCTTGAAACAAATGAAATACGGAGTATATGTTAAAAAAATTGTTTTAATCTTGTCATTAGATTTCGGAAAACGAAAGATGGTTTTTTGAAATGAAAAAATGATGGATCTTATTCGTAGCCCAACAATTACGCGAGAAGAGACAATAAATTAAGCAATGACAATTGTCAAAATTCGAAATCGAAACTTTCTACATTGTGGCGTTCAATACCAGTCATTTTTTATATGCTCCCTCGGAATGGTTTTTTTTATTTAGAAAAAGACCCTTATGAATGAATAAATATGAAATCTATATAGTACACAATTATTAGAGTAACCAGTATAAAGCATTAAAATAAATGTGTTTAGTCATACATATACAATGAACACAGTAGTCACCAACACAAGCATTTTAGACCTCTAGCTTTTGTTATATCAAGACCTTTATCAAAGCTCTAACCTCATTACTCTGACCAGCACCTTCAAGGATTGAATTGTAGGTAATATGATCAGCCTCCTCAAACATGCTGGCACGGCTTAGACAACCAAGAACCGTGTAGTGAAAGACCACGTCCGGTTTAACGTTATTCGGTTCTATCATCCCCATAAACATGTCGACCCCAGTGGACCCAAAACATCGCTTGGTCAAATGTTGGGAGTCGTGTGTTGGGTTCGATCCCAACCGACAAAACGAATTAAATATTACTTCCAAATAAAGAAATGTGAATAATTATCCATTGGCTTAAGTTTTTTGTTAGAAAGTGCATTAGATCGTACTTTATATCGGAAAGTGATCAAATCTCATCCGATAGTCTCCACCTGGTTCACTTGGTCCACCGAAATTCTAACACGAACATGACCATTCTCCACCATACACCGAAATAAGGATTGAGCATCTACTTACGATATGATTAAGATGCCATTTTTGTTACACGTTTAGTGGTAAGTGCTTGAAGAGTTGCTTACTTTATGCAACTATATCCTATGATAAGCTCTCGGTAGAGAAGATCTATCTGGCATTCAAAATTGCTTATTATAAGCAACGTTGTTTCTGCAAGCAATATTAAAAAAATTATAAATAACAATCAATCATGTATAGAAAAATGTGTAGCTAAATCCATCTATGAAGTTGTGACTTGTGGCTTGCTTGTGTTTACCATTAGATCCAAATGTAAATGTGCACTAATTAAAGATTGGTCTTAAGATTATTCCTAAACGCATCCCAAGTGTATGTGTTAATGTGTATCAAAGAGCTAATTTGAATATTCAAACTCCTTAGTGCCGGCAATGAATAACATTCCAAGTCAAGAGTCAACTGTTCAAGGAGCGCGTACGTCCCTTGCACAATTGCAGCAAATGCTTAGCTGCTAATATATGTTAAATAATTTTTGATATGGCATTATGGCTATAATTATTTTCTTTTCTTTTCGTTTTGAATTTCACAAGCCAAACATAGCGTAAGGATTTCTTAATATGTGACTTTCGAACAGACGTTAGACAGATCAAATCAATGATTTCATTGTATAAACACAAATCAATTGATTTTTCTAAAATTACATTTGCATCATTTTTAACAAAAAGTTTGCCTTTTATTCATAACCAAGTCAGTCTTAATGTAAAACTTTTGAAAAAATCAATATGCTGCAGTGGATGGACACAACTTGCATTGATTATGTAAACCAATTCAATCCAAATCTCCACCATCACCAAATTTTGACTCCAAAGTTATAATCAACTTGTGGGGTGCAATTGAAGGGTGTGGGGGTGTGCCGGGCAATGTCATGGGAACCTTGCCGATGGACCATTGATAATAATTGTACCACCCTTACTAAAAAGGTTGAACGACCTGCCCAGCAACCCCACACTGCGGACCGATAGGATTGTAAGGGAGGTAAGTCATAGTATAATCTCAATCATGTAGAGCATCAGTTTTGTTGCTAGTCATAGTATAATCACATTACTATACTTTTTTGGTAATGTATATGACCATGTTTGATAATGTAAGTCATATTTAGGGAATAAAAACATGCAAGTCCTATTTTATTATATTTTTTATGTTTTAGTCCTACTTTGGTCTTTCTTCCTTTTTTCAGTCAACTGTTTTCAACTTTTGACCTATAATTAAATAAAATATATATTGTATATTAATTAGATAAAATATTATTTTGAAAATATTTTATATAATAAATCTAATAGATATATTTTTGTATCAATATCTAATATCATTTTTATTTAGTTTGGAGTAAATGTTTATCAATTTAGACCGAAAAAAGTTAAAAATAGACAAATACTCCGGGATGGCAGGAGTTGTAGTTAAGACCAACTAATCTTTTTCTGTCTTATAAGTAGCTTATAAGTCCGCTAGCTATTAAACATAGAAAAACGTCATGAGCTAACTTATAAAAATGCCTTGGTTGGGAACATCGTTTTTTATTAGCGTTAGCGTCTTGGATAAAATTTTAATGGTGTAGATTAATTCTGAAATCTCTAATGCTAAAGGCTACCGTCGGATAGCCTTTTCAAAACGCTAACGCTAATGTCAAACGGGACCAAAGTAAGTTAAAAATAGCTTATATACAATTTTGACATGTTTATAAACACAGAGAAATATCCATTAAATTTCCTGGCAAAACATCATGTGCATGCATCATGCTCCTCGGAATTTTCCTAGTCCACCCATTCACACTTACGTACAGAGCTAGTGGAGGTCAAGAGAGTCGCCGCCATAGCTACCTCAGGTGCCGTTTGGCTTTAAATCTCTACACCTTAATTAATTAGCAGGCATCATCTTGAGCTTATAAATAGGATATAGGCTGCCCTGGTTTACTTAGCTTCCATCATCATAATCATCATCATCAATATTATTGTAACTAATAAGATGGCACATAATAATATGGCAGTAGTTTCCTTGTCATCCTTTTTGGTCATTTGTTTGATAAAAATGTGCGCGGCAGGAGAAATAGCGATATACTGGGGGCAAAATGGGAACGAGGGCACTCTCGGAGACACTTGTGCCTCCAACAACTACAACATCGTCAACCTTGCTTTCCTCACCGTGTTCGGCAACGGCCAGACACCGGTGCTCAACCTGGCCGGACATTGCGACCCGGCCAGTAATGGGTGCGTCGGCCTGAGTGCCGACATCAAAGCCTGCAAGAGCCAGGGCATCAAAGTGCTCCTCTCCCTAGGGGGTGGTGCAGGAACCTATTCCCTCTCATCTGCTGATGATGCCAGGTAAATAAGTCCATAAACTCATTTAGGTAATGGGGGTGTCGGTCTTGAGTCGATTTCGGTAATTGATGGAGTATAATCTTTTAATGTGATTTGACCCAAGTGTACCACATCCATCGTCTTAAAGCTTTTTTCTCGTTTGTGTTGTTCACAAGGTCAAGCTATATTCACTTACTCTGGATGAAGTAATATATACAAGTACTTATTTATTTTGGTGAATCATTTGATGTATAGGAATGTGGCACAATACCTGTGGGACAACTACCTTGGAGGGCAATCAGGGGCGAGGCCGCTAGGGGAAGAGCCCCTAGACGGAATCGACTTCGACATAGAACTGGGCGGGGGCCAGTTCTACGATGAACTGGCCAAGGCCTTGACCGCTTTCGGACAAAAGGTCTACTTATCAGCAGCCCCTCAGTGCCCATTTCCAGACCAGATGCTGCAGGGGGCCATAAACACCGGCATCTTCGACTACGTCTGGGTCCAGTTCTACAACAACCCTTCCTGTCAGTACTCAGGGGACGCTTCCGGTCTCCTCAGCTCCTGGAACAGTAATTGGGCAAACATTCCCGCCGGACAAGTGTACCTCGGACTGCCTGCATCTGTCGATGCCGCCGGAAGTGGGTTCGTTCCAGCCGATGTGGTCACTTCCCAGATTCTTCCCGCCATCAAGGGCTCCGCTAAATACGGAGGCGTGATGCTCTGGTCTAAATTCTATGACAATGGCTACAGCTCCAGCATTAAACCTGCAGTTTGATGGATAGAAACTTCATATATATGTTCTTAGTAGAAGATAAATAAATAAACATACTCCGGGGTATTTGAAGTTTGAACACCAATAATGCCCTCCCTTGCCAACGGGAGGGATCCAGTGCAATTTCTCCTTGTGTGAGAGAATTGTAAATTTGTAACAGTATATTTACTAGTCCCATAATTATATGATAATACTATGAGTGAATCACATACAATAAAGTTCCATAACTTCTACTGTCTAGTCACAACATATATTAACTTATTTCCAATGGAGTATACAACAATAGACTTTGTACAATCCTACAAAAAATAGTCACCGGAGAGTGCGTAAACAGACATTATCCTTATTCAGAAGTAGAAAGACAGTTTCCAAGAGACCCCAGCACAAACACAAAAGCACAAATATCTAAAAACACAAGACAAGAAGCACATATATTGGCACCATCAATTAGCCCATAACACAAAAAAACACACATGTACAAGCCACACACTTTGCACCCACACACCAACAAAAACTATACACTAAAGCTCAAATGTCTACCCAACTACTCTGGTCTCCGGACATTCATCTTTTGCCTCAAAAGAATTTTATAAATGCACTCAAAATTGGTCCTGCCTTGCTTTACAACAAAGTTGATCCTCATCAAAGATACATAATTTTGCTTTTGCCTCTTGAAAAAAATTACTAACATATAAATTATTCGAATCAACGTAATAACTACATCTTGAGATGATAGAAGTACACCATATGTAGTCAATATAATAGCAACCCCAACCCCCACAAGTTGTGAATATGGTGGTGGTGGTGATGTTGACGATGATGAAGAATTGAAGGGTATCCTAGCAGCAATTAGTGTCCAGATTAGGAAGGGGGGCCTTAGTCTAATCTTCCAAGAGGGGACTCAGCAGCATGATCATCCACGAACCACAGACCAAATTCTCTAAAACGTTTTATCTTCTTGTCGAAGCCGGTGATGTAGTTATTGTGAATAATAACAGTCATTCCCTTGGTGTCTTGCACCCATGTTTGGTTCTTAAAGTATAGACCACCCGTTGGGAATGCCGCTTGAGGAAGCAGATACAAATCCACCTGCATTGATGATTTCATTTCATACACATTCAAACTCAGACTCAACTCCCATACAACTGAATGAAATATTAATGATCAATGACAATGAATGCCATCAATCTGATATTTGCCAAAATCTCAGAATCAGGAAAACGGCTTAATAGGAAACTCAGAAAAGGGCATACCTGTCCGGCAGTTTTGTTTAGAGCCCAGTTAAAAGCGGGCTGGTCATTAGATTTTTTAGCCTTGGACCATGGCTGAGCTTGTAGTTCTTCAATCCACTTCTTCATAAGCAACTTTGCTCCATTCGTGGGACGCATATAAATCATGCAGCTGCATATGTACGTTCGGCCTTTTTTCCCCGGTGGTGGCAAATCATGAGAGTGATCCAGAGGTTTGACCTGGAAGTAGTTCCAAAAAACAGAAGAAACAGGCCAATTCTTAATTTCAATAAAGTAGAAATGAGTAAATGATTTGAGAAGAGTAAAAGAGCTTGGAAAAGTGAAGATACCGCAGCCATGTCATCTGTGAAGTACACATCATGCTCCCCTTGCAAGTAAGGGAATGGATCAGCTAACCAGACCATATCCACATCATTATACATCACATTATAACCAAGCTCCAAAATCTGCAGAAGATGGTGAGGCCTTCTCGATGTAAAATTGAAGAAACCCTGTAAAACCAAATTATCATCCTTACTTCAAGCTGGAATTCATCAATTTAGCAAAATGATATACCATTTCATTCTTTCTTAAAAAAGATTTATGCAGAAAAAAATGTGTTAGCACTGCCAAAAACCAGTAATCACCAGCTATAATAATGTGAAAAGGAAAAACACTAATCCTGCAACTATAATCTAAGCATCATCAACATTCTTGATGAAGGGCTTTACCAGAAACAATATTTAGCTAGAAAAGTAGCAGATTCCAACCATAATACACCCATTAATGACATGTCTAAGGATAGCTAATTCAAATGTCGATGTGATCAGAACCCATATATACACAGACAACTCCGTATTGCTAAACATCAAGACTTTGTTTTTTCAAGAAAGTGATTACCTGAGAGCCAAACTTGTGAGCACTCTGAGACTCCACAGCAGGAGGGATCAGAACGGCATGGCCAGGCCACCTTTCGTTCACCTTATACAGAGTCGTGTAGTCCTCAGCAATCACCAGAACCTTCTCTTGCTGCTTTTGCCTGGCAATGCTGATCAGCCAATTGTTCAAGAAGGGCAAGTAAGGCTCACTCACAGCGCAGACAATCAGGGTCCCATTTCGAGCCACTCCGGCCGCCGCCGCCGCCAACGTGTAGTCCCGCCACTTGGATTGGGAGACCCTGGAGCTATTGCGGGCCTGGAAAACCCCGATGCCGGGGATTTGAGCCCACGGAAAGAGAACTCCGAGGATCACCAGAAGAACGAGGAGGATGACTAGAGATGTTCGGTTGAAGAGGAAGGCGGTGTGTTTCTGGTAATCCTGGGGTGAACGCAGGGACAAACCGTATTGATTTCTCAGGGTGTTTTGGATTGCCCTCTGGTGTAAGAAGGAGGACATTGTGCGGTTTGAGAAATGTTCATGAATTTGACTAACTCAGATCTGTAGAGATCGGGAGAGGATTTCTGTGAGTCTGGAAATCATATCAGACTGCTTTGAAGAGATCGCCGGAGGAAGAAGACGACGACGACGCGGATCTGGTCACAGAGTTATGGGCCGCTGCCCGATAAAGGCCCAACAGCTCACGAATGTCGGCAAATCCATAAACAAATTTTCTTTCCATATTCAAACAATTTTCATTAAGCTCGACATTGAATCCAAATTATGAAATTGAAATTGGAATTGGAGAGAATAATTCTAGTTCTGCTTTTTGGTAGTACAATGTGAATTTGGAATTGGTAGTGCCAAAAATGAATGAGAATTAGAGAATTATGCATAATTAGATAGAGTAGTTCTATATCATGTATGTTCAAGTAATTCCTTGTACAAATGTATTCATTCTATAATATTTAGAATTGTAAATGTCACCTAATTTATCAAACTTTATATATGTGCACTAATTAATTAAGCTCCCGTCCTAATCATCACTCGTTTAATTTTGTGCTTCACAAACAAAGTGGTAGAACGTGCAATATTATTATTATTGCTCCTTGATGGCACATGAAGTTTAGCATTCTCTTCTTGGTCGTCACCAAATGACTGCTGATTCGGGGCCGCAACAATAATAGGTTTATAGCCCTCCGACGAATCCTGAGAATAAGGTACAAACAATAATGGCCCATGACATCTATTCCATTCTCTATGTTTTAGTACTATTCCATACAAATTTTAGATTATAGTATTGTCGTGAATAATAGTCTTACAATTCCCAAGGTTTGCATGGCAACAAATGATGCCGGACCTGGCCTCAGTGATCTACGCCGAGTTGACGCTGACGTTTTTGTCCTCGTACCCTCTTCCGCCCCTGCACCAAACGATGCGTATATTGTGTACAATATACAATAAAAGTAACTTTTTCATAGATTGCTCAAGGTTAGTGGCAAATTCTATATATGCATGGTTCATCTTGAGTGTACCTAATGATGACGTCGTCGATGTTCTTCCTCCACTCATCTTTGTATTCTCATCCCTGCATAGAAACGTTATACGGAGTAAGTTGTACGTCATCAATTCATCAAATCTTTAATAAAAATGATGATGATGATGAGTGATTATATATATAAGATGATGGAAGAACTACTATACCTCATGAAAAGAGAGTATGAAGCCCTTTTTAGTTTTGATTTGGCTTGGGTTGCTATATGCCATGAAAGAGTTTTGGGAGCTGGCGAACCTAGCTAACCAAATATACATATAGTTACTTAACTCCATCACATAATTAACAAAACACTAGCAAAGTCGCATCATAATTAACATATGCTCCCTCTCTCCCTGGAAATTCTTCTTATTTTGATTTTTTAGTTAAACTGTGATACTCTTTGATCATTAATTAAACATAATTTAAATAAATAAATGTTATAAAATTTAGATATATCAAAAATATATCTTAAAATAGGAAGTGTTACTGTTTGACAAAAAAATCAAAATAGAAAGTGTTTTCAGGAATGGAGGGAGTATAATTGAAACTCGCATTGATTTTAGAAGTGTGTGTTTTAGAAGTGTGTGTGTGTGTATATGCATGCATGCATGTATCTTTACCAAAGAGAACAAGTTTGGGCTTAGTGGGTTTGTTTTGCAAGTGACTACACATTTCAGTGGGCTGCAAGCTAGAGGAGTCGACCTTCTTCCCGACTGCAAGAGCTGTTAATTATACAAGTAGGAAATAATTCATACATATGTATTCTATCGCACGTCAATAATATAAGGGAAATTACTTAAATATTACTAAAACATAATGATTTTTCCTAAATAGCAATGTAACATCTTTAGTCATTATCTATTAGTCATTATTCAAGTAAATGTTCGATATCACAGGACAACATGAATATTATTAAGTGCTACTTAGAGAATAAAAGTATAGGTTTAAGTGCTATTTAGAGAAAATGGCCTTAAGGTTTAGTGCAAATATTTCATAACGTAATATATGTAGTTAGTGTTGTGGACGTAACGTACGTATAAAACATGGATGCATGGGTTAAGTAATTAAATAAATAAATACCAGGCAAAGTGTAATGTTTGTGGTGGGTGTGATCGGCGGGAAGGAGGAGCTGTTGTCGGAGGCCTTCTTTGTCAATATAGGCTTTGCAGGTAAGGAGTTTTTGGTGGAGACAATCCACCTTGGACTCCATGTCCTTTAGTAGTCGTGTTTGTTCTTCGTCGTCGTCCATGATTTGGTTCAGTTTCGAAGCCACTGTGCCTATGTGGTCTACTGCACTCACCACTGCTCTCTTTGCATATTCTCTTAGGTTCTCCACCACCCTACATCATTTACATACATATATATATAAGTCAGTTCTAGACTAAATACCATTAAAACATACAGAATACTACCTTCGTCCCTGAGTATTTGCCCACTTTGGACTTTTTTCTAGTCAACTCTTTACAACCTTTGATCTATGAATGACTAAATAAATGTATATTATTTATTAATTAGATAAAATAATATTTTGAAAATATTTGATATAATAATACATCTAATAAAACTATTTTTGTATCAATATCTAATGTCATTTTTATTTAATTTGAAGTCACAGTTTACCAATTTTGATCGAAAAAATCAAAAGTGGACGAATACTCGGGAACGGGGGGAGTATGCGTTTTCTCCTAATGTACGTACGTACATAGCACCTAAAACTTTTTTATTACTTAAATAATACTTGAACAATGTCCAGTTGCGGTGGACATTTAGTTGAACAGTGGTACTACCTTGAAAAATTAAAACATATATATGGTACTACATTGGAAAACTCACTATGTTCAGTACTCCCTCCGTACCACAAAATATTACCCATTTTGATGTATTTTTGGTCAAATAATTATACGCTTTGACCATAAATTAAATATAATCTAAATAAAGAAATATTATAAAAATTTGATATATCAAAACTAGATTCTAAGATGAATCTAGTTATAATAAATTGATATTATAATTCAATATACTTTTTCTCACAATTTGTAGTCAAAACGTATAATTGTTTGACCAAATACTATTCAAAATGAGTAAGATCTGATCTTTGTGGAACGGAAGGAGTACTATATAGGTAAATTCTTCTATGTTTAAGACTCCTTCCTAGTTACTTCCTCCGTCTATCAAAGATCTTCTAATCACATATTACGAGGCGTGATCGATTTAGTTTTCAATTCAGTTTGTTTGATTGCAGTTGTAAAATTTAAAAATAGAATTTATATAGTAAAAAACATGAAAAGTTTTACAAAGATAGTAGTGATAAGACTGTATTATATTATTTTTTGAATCATAATAAAAATAAGCAAAAACTGAGTCAAGTTTGACTATGTAAAATTGAAAAGTGATCAACATATATAAGTTCTTGACTTGAGCTAAGTAATTGGTTGAATTCAATATTTTAATGTGGTTTAACTCAAGTATATCTTATGGCTCAATCCAGTGAGTCTTACATCATCCTAAATTCTATCAAAATTGAAAAGTGTCTGAAAAGATCTATGGCAGAGGGAGAGAGTGTCGAACAAGGGGTGTGAGATTGTATGTAGGAGATTATGGGAAAGAACCGCACATACATCCAACTCTGCTTGCCATATCGGTATGATTTTTCCGTACGCTCCGCAGCAGAATAAAGTTGAGGCCCCAAGTTCTTGAGTTCCTAATAATCATCAACACATTTGCAACATGTACAACAACAACCGGAAAAATTAAATCAAGCAAATTCAGTGAAATTGATACGACTACTGAAAAAGATAAAATACACAACTTCTTTTCCTTTAAAGAAAAAAAATATAATCTTAAATTCATATTAAGATTATATTTTCAACCTCACCTAAATTCCTCGTAAATACATAAGTACATCATTTTTTCTGGGCAGAAATTGTTTTGGGATAATTTTTGACATTTTACTATTTCAGGTGGAATTATTTTGGGAAGCACATGAAGGAGGAATACGTAGTATTCATTTATTTATACCTGTAAGGCATTGAAGAAGCTCTGGGTTCGGGCCGCCGTGGAAACCTCGTCGAGACTGGTGGTAGAATTCTCCGGCGGCGGCGTCGGCTTGGCTTCCTCCACGACCATCTATCCGATCGGTCGGTCCCTGGCCACAAGCTAGCTAGCTACTTTCTCGATCGAAAATAGGTAGCTAGGCGGGATTCTATAATAAGTAGGAGGCATGCAGTTAATTATTAATTGAAGTAAGGTATATAATTAATATATATAACTACGCGCAGCTGTGCAAGCGGCGGCGGCGGCGGAGAAGAGAAGAAAAGAAGCTAAGGGGGAGCCGCGCAAAGAAGCAATCTCATGATCGAGAATATATACCATTACTATTACTACTACTTCTCTACTAGGGAGTAATTAGCAAAGCTTATTTAATTTAATTTTAGGTCAAAGTTTACCAATTTTGATCGAAAAAAGTTAAAAATGAACAAATACTCATGGACGAAGTGGGTAGTAATTAAGAAAAGTTCTTTAGAACTAGATAAAATTAAAAGAGCTTAATATCTCCCCATTAGACTTTTCACAGTCTCCAATGCGACACTTTGACCATTTATATCTTCATTTTTATATGAATATATATTACAAAAAAAATATTTCAAAACTATGTTTCAAAATAAATCTATTGATAATAAATTTATATGAAAATTCAATATATATTTTCCGTAATATACGGTTAAATTTTAAAAAGTTTGACTGCAAAACTCAAACTGAGAAATTAATTTTAGGACGGAGGGAGTATTCAAAAAAAAATAGAAAAATTGGATGAATGATAAAAAAACATGAAGAAATTGGGAAAAAATGAAAGAAATTAGAAAAAATTAGACGATAATGGAAAAACTAAAAAAATTTAGAAAATATAAAAAAAACTGTAAACAATTTATTTAAGTGTATTTTTTATATTATTCTCATTCTAACTATTGTTGTTATTTTTAATTGGCTATTTTTTAGAAAAAATGAAGAAACCAGATAAACTGATTGCTTAAATTAAACCAATACTACATGTATGGAGCGAGAATACCGGACAGAAGGTATTTTTGCAATATATTTCATGAGTTTATGATTTTGATTTTGAAAAATGATGATTAATCATATTGAAACATTTGGCAGAATATAATTAGACAAATATTGGAAAATGATGATTAATCATATATGCATAAAGCACAATAGAAATCATACAAAAACATTATACCAAATGAAAATTCAAATGTATAAAAAAAGAACCAAAAACAATGTCAAAAGTGGGATTTGAACCCACGCCCTCTTTCGAAGACCAGAACTTGAGTCTGGCGCCTTAGACCACTCGGCCATCCTGACTAGTTTGTTTGATGTTAATAGATTTCTATATTAATATTCGAAACTCGGTTTTGCTGTCAGTATAATGTACATATATGTACTCCCCTGTTTAAAAAAGAATCCTACATATATGTAAAACAAAATAAAATTTAAAGTATTTTTAATTTATTTTTTTTAAAAGATTGGTAGTATATGAATTAAATAGTAAAACTTAACAATTAAAAAAAACATAAAAAATTGTAAAAAATAAAAACTGACAAGAATATTTTGTTTGGTATAATGTCAATTCAATTTTTAACACTAATCACTTTATTAGGGAGTACAATAATTTATTCGTACATTATCAACCTATTAAAACACATGATAGAGTTACTACTTGTACTGGAATTCGAACATGGGACCTCTCATTTAAAAGATTTATCACAAGCTGTTTGACACCCGTTGAACGCTTAATATCAAAATGTTCCCATAACTAAAATAAAACTCATAACAAAATTCAATTGAAAACAGGTGAAATGCCAAACAACACACCTTCTAGACTATATGTATCAAAACAAACACAAACAAACACAAACTCTCTGTTTATAAAGCACTGGGAATTGCACTAGTAGAACAGCTAAATCTAAAAGCTAATTCTGCAATCTGCCACAGTTGCTTCCATATAGAGTAACAACACAGAAACAAGTCGTCGCCATGGAACCATACACACGAACACATGAAAAAGCTGAATTAAAAGAAGGTTTTAAAACAAAAAAAAAGCCCAAAGACACATCGGCAACGATATATGCCTCTCCCCACACAGTTCATTCCCTCTTCTTCGCCTTCATCGAAGGCCCTCTGGGAATTTTACTCAGCACTTTTGCATCAAACACAGCATACTGCTCCTTGATCTTCAGCGTTGCTTTTTCGGCAAGTGGGTCGATTTTGTCCTCATACTTCTCGTAGATCACTGGAACGGTGTGCAGCAGTACAAATACTGTTTCATGGAAAAGAAAATCAATATCTCACGTGTTTGTGTGATAAAAACGTGAGCAGCGAATCAGTCATTGATTTAAGCTCAACTATTGAATGCACTTACTTATGTAGAACAGTGTCACAAAATTGCACCAACTGCCAACAATGGAGAGGATCCATAGACCAGTAATTACCTTAAAAAGAATTGGAAAGAAATCATATATCATTGACAAACAGAAAAGACACAGCAAGTTGGCATTGATTGCGCAAACTTCACAATTTTAACAAACTCCACATCAATTACAAACATCAGAATCTATCAACGGTTGTGAAAATTTGTGTAAATATGAAGTGTTTGTAATTGAAGTTTATATTTACATTTCGCGAACTATTGCCCCGAGGACAACAACAACCCAGTGGAATCCCACAGAAGTAGAGTCTGGGAAGGGTGTGTGTATGCCGACCTTACCCCTACTCGGAAGTAGAGAAGCTATTGCCCCGAGGACAATGATTAAAATTGTTAAAGATGGAAACTTGTCATCTGTTTCAATAACAAATCTATTAGATGTCTATAAAATGCATTTAATAATGTCAAATTTCCACTAGAACAAACTTGACCATTGTGTTAAGCACAAGGGTCAGCAAACAAGTTTAACCTTCACCATTGCATTAAGCACGAGGGTCAGCAAATAAGTTTAATATTCCCTCTGTCCCATAAAAATCGTCACTCTTGCTTTTATTATTCATCCCACAAAAGCTTCGCATTCATTCAAAGGAAAACAATATGTATCTCAAAAAGCTTCTCTTCTTAAGAAATTCTAATCACATATCTTTCACTTTCAACACTTTTCTTGAACTCCACGTGAATTAAACACGAAAGATTTTCATGGGAAGGAGGTAGTATTTTGATGGCAAAAAGATTCTATTAGGAGGAAGAAATGAGCCAAATACCTCATCAATAAACAATATTGCTTAATAAGGTAAAGCAAAATGCATGAGAAACATTCAATGTCTGGAGCTTTCTAGAGCATGGAGGAAACAAAAAAGCTGAGTTGAACAGAACATCAATTTGTCTGCCAAAATTATAAAATTAGACACTTACAACAAGAAATGTCTTCAGATCTCTTCCGGATGCAATTTCTCGCAGTATGGCCAACCCGCGGTTAACTTCAACTGTCAGGGCATCTGCAGCCTCGATGAAGGGACGCTCTGGAATAAGAACTTCTGGGATGCGTGGCGGAGACCTGAGAAACAATGATCTTCTGTTCAGTACATAGAGTCGACAAAGTAAAATAGATGAGCAATTAAGAATAGAAGCTCACTTGTTAATGAAGGTTGATGCATTGGACCACAAGAACGAGACTGCAAGAGCAATGATCAAAACATGGCAGACCAGTGTGAGAAGGTGGTACTCCATTAATTCAAACAGAACCCAGATAGCACTAGCAACACCAAGGACTCCACCAGATATCTTCTTGTTCCTCCACAAAAACAAATCAGCAGCTGCACACAGATTGAGCAGGTACTTTCCATTTTAATGATCACAAGTAACTTGATTAAAAATGTTTTCCTTGTCCAAAAGCCAATCTTCCATGAGCTTGCATTCAATAATACATTCATTGGAAACAAACACAGAACAGGAATTTATTTTCTCAGCATCGATGCCATTAGTTTCTAATCCCTTTATAGCATGCATTGTTTCCTCTTTTTGGAAATAATTAAACAACTATACAATCACATCTGCACATTATTAAGTTTTTATTTTCAAAAAACAACTGAGGGCTCAGACCAGCATTGAGGCTGTTAGAAACTCAGCACATTGCACAACCTGAAATGTTCCACAAAGCAGCAAAGCAACAAAGAGGGCTCAAGAAGTTTTTTGTACAAACTATTACTCAAGAAATGAATACAGATCTAGGAACACAGGTTAAACACATTCAACCGCTAAACACCACCATGCTGAGGTTAGATCACAAAACTCTCAATGTTTGTGCATCAGAAAAGAGGAACCGCACAATTGTTTTTCAAAAACTCTAAACCCTAATCTCTTTCATCAAGCACCTGCAAATTCACTTTTTTAATATTCAAAAATGAAATGATAGAAAGAACAACTCCGAAATATACACACAGATGCAGATCGAAATCAATTTCTATGCGTATAAAAAGTGTAGGTAGGTGTAGGTAAAAGTAACGTACGCTTGCCTCCACCGAAAACGTGGTGAACCGGCCGTTCTCGGCCAAAAAGCCGCCAAATCTTAGACTTCGCAGATGAATGCGAAGCCGGATGCTTCACGGTCTTTTTCTCAGATTCGGAATCAGAAGACGACGAGCTGTCACTGCCGTGGCCGTGAATCTTATCATGGATCTTGTCCATCAAGGATTCTGTTTGTTGAACCGGATCCACCTGCTCCGCCATCTCCGATCCGATCAGCGATGAACGCCTGCAATTCAGATGGAAATGGAAACTCTTGTTGAAATTTGATGATGACGATGACGACCTCCCAACACTTGTTCTTGGCTCCGGTCCTGGTGCGTACCTATATATTGCTTGAAATCTTGAATCGGGTGAAGCTTCGAGCCTGCGGGTCGGGTCACGCCGCTTTTATTTTTCACTCGGGGTATTTTTTTTAATGTAACAAATCTTAATTATAAATTATTAAGTTCTACTAAAAAAATTACTTTGACTTTTTAATCAAATTATTGAAACAATTTGATCACAAATTGCAGAAAAAATATATTTATTTAGTATGTATACATTTGATCGACGCACTTTGATTATAAATTAAATATAATTTTAAGTAATTAAATATTAATAAATTTTAAATTATTTAGACAATGATAATTTGTTTGGGACGAAAAGAGTATAATTCAATGTATTCTCATTTAGATTTAACTTTAAAATAAAAAGTAAAAGTTATATTTATAAATTATGTCAAAGGTCTATTAAATAACAAAATAAGAGACGATAAAAATATTATATTTTATCAAAACATCAATAAAAACATACAAATAAACGTAAAATTACACAACTTTTCACTCGTGAAGTGTAAAGATTTTTTTTTGGAAAAGGGGAATAAAAATTAAAAACACCCCCTATGATTTTCGAAGACAAGATTTAGAAACCGGACAAAAACTGATTTCAAATTGGATATTAAATGTACAATAAATTCGTATGACCATAAGATCCAGAAGTTTAAAATCGTACGACTACAAATTTGATTTTAAAATGGTACTATAAAATCGTACTCCATCCGTCCCCAAAAAAAAATTTCTCTTTTTGACTTTTTGAGGATTTAAGGGAAGGATATTTTTGTGTTGACTTTCCAAAAATACTCTTGATGTGATGTGTAAAAGTAAGATGTGATATGTAGATTATTAGTAAAAAAAGTATGATGTAATATGTAGAATATGAAAAAAGTAAGGGTTTAAAGGGGTTCTTTAAGGAAAAAGAGAAGTTTATTTGGGGACAACAAAAAAACGAAAGGAAAGTTTACTTGTCCTGTACGCTCTCAATCTTTTTTTAGCCAATAATTTATTCAGAAAGTGTATTTCTTAGCCACCAAGTTTTCGTTTTTATTTAATACTCCTATTATTTGATCCATATTAAATAATGCCATTAATGTGAACTAATGATGCGAGACGGCCGACCTAGAAAGTGAACTACTAATTTCATATTCAAAAGAATATGGATACGTTTGGTACATAAAAATGACGGAATTGGGGAATTTAATTGGAAGTTGAAATTCTATTAAATCAATTTGTTTGGAATTGAATTCTCCAATATTAATTCATTTTTTGCACTACCAATTTTAAATTCACATATTTTTGTGCTACCAAACAGTAGAATTAGAATTATTATTTTCAATTTCAATTCCATAATTTTATTTCTGTGTAACAAACTAAGTATAAATCTATTTGTATTCCAAAGATTAACTTCAAAATGTAAAGGTGTATACTTGCGTTTTTTGTCAATGTGAACACGAGATTGATAGTAGTTTACAGTAACACAAAATATGAGTGCAAAATCTTGCGATTGAGCTGATATTTTTGTGTCAATATAAACCATTAAAATGTTAGAGTAAACCGTTGGTACATTTTTAAATACAAACTTTTAAGTACCCCTAGCATGATTGTATTGGAAATAATTTCAGTCACACTCTGAACTAAAGCAAAGGAGTGTCCCGTACAGGGGCGGATCTACCCTTTGGAATATGGGGGCAGCTGCCCCAGTCAATTTTTTTAATATATGTATATTTTTAAGTTTTATATATAATAGCCCCCAATAAAAAATAAATCTGCCCCCAGTTCATTAATTAGCCCAAACCAATTAATTGCCTAAAGTCTAAAGACCTAATTCCAAATGTTAGGGAATGCATTAGGGTTTGTTGTTAACGGGCTCATTCTTGTTGGGCTCGTAATTAGGTCATAGTCTCGTAGCTATTATAAATGGCAGATCTATTTGTAATCAAATCATCAAGTTCAGTTCTAATTATATTTCTACATGGTATCGGAGCCAACCTGGGAACCTAAACCCTAGTCTGCTCTAATCTGTTGCTTTCGTTGTCGCCGTCGCCGGTGGTTTGTCCGGCGACGGTGACATATCTAATCTCTCAACCAAAATCTGTCTCGAGGTTTTCAAAAAAAAATTGTCTCGAGTATTTGTTCTGCTATTAAATTCAGATCTGCCTAGACTAGAGTCAAAGTTTGGCCGCCGCTGAAGATGTCTTCCCCGGCAGTGCTTTTGGTAGGTTCCGTCGGCACCAAAGTCCCAAATTATTGTTACTGCTCAATTCTATCTTTGATGGGCATGCCACGTACTGTTAGTCTACCAAAGTGATTATTTGAATTTGTTTATTCTGTGCTCCAACATCACGAAGAAGGTTTTCAACCAGAGCCAGTTTTGATTGACGTTATTGGTGACTTTGTTTTTGGTTGTTATTTGGTATGTTCAAGTGCAACCATTTGTATGTTCGACATGTTTGTGAGGTTGGTCGCATAGTCGCGCCTCAGTTCGACATATTTGTTTGTGAGGTTGGTCGCATGGTCGCGCCTCAGTCCGGCATCATGGCTTCCAAGTTTGGGATGCTTGTTAGTCGTCCCCGTGTCACCGCGTGGGAGTCATTCGTCATCAAAATTTATTGTTCGTTTGCAGGGCCGGTCACCTTCGTTCGTTGTTGTCACAGCAGATCAAGTTCAAGTTATTTATCAAGTTGTTTTTAGTCTTAGTTTTGTTTTAATTGTCTAAGTTGTGCATTCGTTAACCTCATGCTCAACTTGAGGGGGAGTGTTAGGGAATGCATTAGGGTTTGTTGTTAACGGGCTCATTCTTGTTGGGCTCGTAATTAGGTCATAGTCTTGTAGCTATTATAAATGGCAGATCTATTTGTAATCAAATCATCAAGTTCAGTTCTAATTATATTTCTACACCAAAAGTGGCCAAATTGTCCTAATTCCCAAAAAATAAAATTTACTCTCCTTACAATTATTTCCAAATTTATTGCTTTCCCCTTGGTGTTTGCGGAAACTGAGAAGTGGAATACGAACACGAGCACCCGCTGCGCCGCCGTCGTGCGTCCGCCTCGACACATCCAATCCGCCAGAACTTCGATTCCTTCGATCGAGTATCGCACAATCTTAGAATCGCCAAGCATCGAGGTGTTTCCAAATATTCTTTTTAATGTATGATCTAAATAATGTGTGATGGGTGAAACTTTTTTCCTTTTTATGCGCAATGTGTGAAACTTTTTTCTTTTTTATGTGTAATGTGTGAAACTTTTTATGATCTAAAATAATTTTTTCCCTTTTTATGTGTAATGTGTGAAACTTTTTGGATAATTTTAACTTGTTTTTAATTTTTCTTTCACTTTAATTTACTTAATGCCCCAAGTGAAAAAATTTCTTGGATCCGCTACTGGTCCCGTAATCACTATCTCAATATGCAATGCCTTATTTTAATTCGATCCATGTCAGAAAATGTAAGATGTCTCTCAATAAAGAAATAAAGAAATAAAGAAATGCTACAATTACAAAATAACTATTTATATGTCGAGTCAAACAATACAGGGCACAATAGTCTCAAATATAATATTTAAAATAGTGGAAAAGTAAATGTACAAATGATAAATTTGTAAATTTTAGATCTATTTGTTTGTGACTCAATTCTACCATTTCTCATCTTGATATTATTAAGTATTCAAGCATGATTAGAGTTTGTTCTCTTCAAATTATTCTTATTAATGACTTATTATTTATTGTTATTGCAATTAAATCATAATAGTTCAAAAATAGTTTTATAATCAGATCAAATTGAATCATTAGACTTGAGTAGATTAGACCTTAATAAAATAAGATTAGATCTAATCAAATCAGACCCAATTTCGGAATAAAATTTATTTGACAATCCTAATCACTTTGTGAACCTTTCACCCGACTTCAGGCGTATGAAGCACACTGCCCAGTACTCATAGGGAATTTCACCCAGATTCAAACACCAATAGAACAGAGATATTGATTCTTTGTACGTTATTAGATTGAAAATATATATTCCTTCCGTCCCAAAAAGATTTACACCTTTCAAAAAAATTGTGTCCCACAATCTCCTACCCATTTCTATTAAAAAACCACTTTTACCCTTACTTTTTCAAACCCTACCTATCACATCATACCTTTTTTTCTAATAATCTACACATCACATCCTACTTTTACCCATCACATCAAGGATATTTTTTGAAAGTCAACACAAAATTATCTCTCTCTTAATTTCAACTTTAGTCAAAATGATAAATTTCACAAATGGTACCTGAACTTTAGCTGGAATTTCGAACTAGTACCTGAACTTCAAATCCTTTCACAAAAATCCCTGAACTTACACAATCCTTTCACTAATGAGCCATTAGCCCGAATCTAGGTTAACTTCCGGTCATTAGGGCCAAATTCGAATTTTATATATTTTAAAATTTTCAATTTGACCCCATTTCTTCTTTTCTTTTCTTCCACGCCCCGCCGCCGCCGCCCGCCGGTCAAAGTCGCCGGAAAATGAACTTTTTCCAATTCCGGCGGGACCAATGTCATTCTCTTCGTCTTGAGACGAGGATCAATAATATCCAAACCATTTTGTCTAATTTGGCCTGTAACTTCTCGAATCTGAATTTTTCTACTCGAAAAAACCCTAAAATTCGAAATTAGATCCAAAATTGGGGGCTTTGCAAATCTTCATTAAATCTTGCAATTGAGCGGTCCTTGGAGGTCGCCCGGATGCCACGACCGCATTGGAGTTGGTGCCCGCCGTCAATTTCGAAATAGGACTTAAATTACCATACATGGTCATATACATTACCAAAAAATTATAGTAGTTTGCAAATATATACTGCCACATTATAATAGGGCAAAGTCACATTACCACAGTGCAAAGTCATATTTTGAAAAAAAAAACATGAAAATTCTATTTTGGTACTTTTTTTATGTTTTAATCGTATTTAGGGTGATTTCTATTCAATATTTTATTACCCTCTAGACTTGAAATTAACTGCATGAAAATGTGTTTTGGATATTATAATTCTTTAATTGGCTCCGAAATTGAAGTTCCATTTACAATTAAGAATCCAAAGAAATGTTTTCACTTATTTAATTAATTAATTATTTGTTAAAATAGTATCTTGTATATATAAAGTATTTTTTAAATATATACGGAGTAACTTTTACTTCAAAATATTACGAGTATTATTTTTATTTGAATGAATTGATTTGATAATAAATTTAGTCCATGGTAGGTTTTAATTTAGGTAGTGCTTGGTCGGAGCCGGGGGAATATTCTCCCAAAAAATTTTCATTACAATTTCTTCTATTTAGGAACTTAAATGATAGAAAAATATTTTCTCTCGACAAGGAGAACACATTTCCTGTTTTAATATTTAAAAAATATATTTTCCGTTTGATTTTAAAGGATATCGGTTCTTCATCAATAACAATTAATTTTTTTATTTTTATTTTCCTTCTTAAGAAATAAGAAAAATAATTTTTTGAATGAAAAAAATACTTTTTACCAAACAGAGTAAATAAATTTCTTTGGGAAATATTTCCGTCAACCAAACGCACATAATAATATTTTTATAATCGAACGGCATTTTAAACGGCATAACAATTCACTTTACGAATTAATTGAGAAAATATGAAAAATAGAATAATTAAAATTTATTTAAAAAATTAATATAATGAACTGTAGTAATTTGTAAACAAGATTTCCTTTATTTACTTGAAGATGAAATGAAAAAAATCAAAAGTTTATTTATGAAGATACCGAATACAAAAAAAACAAATCTCATTTAATTTGGAAATTAAATGGACAATATTGTAGTTTATTTTAAGGAAAATTCTTCTATGGTTCTAAGACTCATACTTGTGTAATGAACCTTAGTACATTGATATTGTAAAAGAATTATTCTTTAGACAAAAAAAGATCTACTTATCATCTCATAAAAAATATAACAAGATCCACATTATATATGTGAACCTTAAAACTATGAAAAAACAAGTTAAGCATATCTGGAATGATTTTTAATTTATTTCATTTATTAAAACAATGACTCTGAAATCTAGTTAAAGCCTTGGGTTAAGTATGGGACAAGTAAATGAGCTAGGGTGTTTGACTACCCATTAGAATTACTAAGGAATAATAACTTAGTTTAGACCATCTATATCTATACTTTATTTAAAAAAAATGGGAATTCCCCATTTGCATTTTCCTGCCTAAACATTTCAATCATCATAAATGATAAGTGCTAAAACTCAAAATAGTTATTACAAAATGATAATGCACCGTGCGTGTATAATTTATTAGTTTAATATGCAAGTGCTGTGTATAAGGTAATTATCTGGAATGATTTTTAATTTATTTCATTTATTAAAACAATGACTCTGAAATCTAGTTAAAGCCTTGGGTTAAGTATGGGACAAGTAAATGAGCTAGGGTGTTTGACTACCCATTAGAATTACTAAGGAATAATAACTTAGTTTAGACCATCTATATCTATACTTTATTTAAAAAAAAGGGAATTCCCCATTTGCATTTTCCTGCCTAAACATTTCAATCATCATAAATGATAAGTGCTAAAACTCAAAATAGTTATTACAAAATGATAATGCACCGTGCGTGTATAATTTATTAGTTTAATATGCAAGTGCTGTGTATAAGGTAATTAATCTCATAATTATTTACTCTCTCACTTTTCTTTTATACTTATTAATAATTATTATGGTACCGTGTAATAATAATAAACGTAATAATAATAGAAACGGTAACATGTGAAACTTTAATAATAATATGACACCGGGTAATAATAATAATAATAATAATAATAATAATAATAATAATAATAAATGTAATAATTGCTATTGGTACTGTGTATAATAAAAAAGGTAACATGTAAAACTTTAATTATTTATTATTAATTATTAATAAGATAATTTCATACCTTATACTTTTTGGTACCATGTATAATAAAAAAGGTTGCATATGAAAGAATAATAAGAATATGGTACTATATAATAATAATAATAATAATAATAATAATAAACGTAATAATAATAATAATAATAATAATAAAGATAAGTTAGTTTTGTGCAATTGTGCTATTACCATATATAAAATAAATGAAAGTGTTGACTGAGTTTTAAAAAATGTATGCTCATACCATATATTTTTATACTAAAATTATAAATTATGAAATTAATTACTCCATCCATCCCCCATTTTTTAAAAATTGGTAAGAAACTAAAAAATGAAATTTACCATTTTAAAAATTATATCAAAAGTTCAACAGAGCACAAAGTGACAAGACTATTATTTATCAAATAAGTAGCAAAAATATAATTAAAAAATGAGGTCAAAATTGACAATATAAATAGTAAACAATTTAAATTGAGACAGAAGTTAATCAAATTGTTTTACGGTTTTGTGCGTTTTACTAGCACACGCATTAAAAGTTTTAAAACCACCTAATGTCAATTAGTTCCACCATACCAATAAGTATATAAAAATCCAAGTAGTATGTCACAACTCAAACGTAAAAATTGTAGCACCTTATTTGTACACCAATATGTTTTCCACCACACATATCCTGATATTGATATAAAAAAAGAGAAGTGAATAAGAAATGTATGGTTAGAAAAAATTTAAAAGTGTAGCCCTAACATTTACTCTTACAAAAGATGACTCTCTCTACAAAATAATGTCAAACTTGATATAAGATCCTAAGTCAAAGTAAGTATTTCCCATCAAAATTTGGTACATCAAAGTTTTTTTGTCAAAACCCAATATAGCAAGTGTATCTTCATTCTGGTTCGCAATGCATTATATTCATATCGAAAGTCAACTTATTAATAGTAGAAGAGAACTAAATCCAATAAACATGATTCACCCTCATCTTCATTTTATTTCCATGATCAAAAGAAAAAGTACATAGCAGCAAACAGTTAAAGGAGGATTGCATATTGTGGTGAATTTTTATTACGGAGTATTATATAACAAACTGGGAAGAGTGAATACTAGTAATAACATGTACTCCAAGGTAAGTACTTATGTGATTAGTAGTATATATGTAAAGGGATTCCTATGAGTTAAGAATCACCAGATTTGTTCCAGAAATCAGAGAGAGTTGGGAGCTTGATCTCACCGCGGCGGGAGAGAGGGATGGAAATGTTTCCGATGAGGGGAAGGTCGACGACGAGGGTCAAGTTGAGAAGGTAGTCGATGTCCCAGTCGCGGCCGATGTCCCTCCCCAGGCTCAATAGCACACTGTGTGGCACCTTTACTGGCACATCAACCACTGTGGTTTCGTTCCCTTTCAGTGACCCTGGGTCTGGTATTGTCCCTGAAGCTATCTCCCTGCACACATCATTTCCAGTATGAAAAACTACACGACAGTGTCAATGCTAGACAAAAACATTAGAGATCTTATTTTGATACTCCGTACTATGTATAGGTTTAATATTTTAGTTGTATTTAGATAGATTTTTTATTCCAAAATTAATATTTTAGGCCTAAACATGCTCTATATACAAAGTAAGATTTTTCAATGTTTTTATAACTCAAAATAGGACCTATAATAGTAAAGAGTGTCAAAATATATAGCTAGTAAAGAGTGAAATGCCAACTTACAATGCCAAGTTGTGGCATTGCACTATATAAAAACATAGAAGAAAATCTTTTACTCTATATATACGAGAATGCTCAGAAATACACACATACACTCTCTTTGACAAAATTCTCTCGTGCAAGCGTAGTCTATTCGAGACTAGCACGTGAAACCTTAAAATTTTTAAAATTGGATGGCGCTGAGTTTCGAACACGTGGCCTCTTAGTCAACTATGCTCGTCAAAGAACAAACTCAACCGCAAGATCAAGCTTGTGGTTGTGGCCCAGGAAAAGTTTTTCAAATTTTCTAACAAAGTTTAGCATTTATGAAGTGTTAAGGAGAGTATTATACTCCTGTCCACATACCACTAGCTTTTTGCATTGCCATTTTAAAAGTTAATCTATTCAAAGCCGAACACTAATATATAACAAATGATGTTTCAATTCCAGAGGAAACCAGAACAAAGTCAAACTGAAGAATTAGCATGGGACTGGAAGTAGTAGTTTTTAGGCAATCTAAAATAGTCACTCCATATTTACGATTAGCTCAAGATAGATTTTAGATTAACAAGTAATTAAGCAGCCAAACCGTGAAGACATTATTGAAGGAAAATGAATGACCAAAGTACAGCAACTAAGTGTAATTAATGGGCAGAATATACCGCTGAATTTTGAAATTTCTCGAAATTTGGGGGAAATCTGGATTTGAACAAACCGAAAATCTAAAAACAGGATTGTCGCAGTACAGAAACCAAATCAAACACAGCCTAAATTAAGACCGAAAGTAAAAGGATCGAAGAAGAAATCGCATGAATCGGTAAGAATTGAGAAGAGGATCATCGAGGAATACCTATCGGCACTGTTGAGGACATATCTGATCTCGCAGATGGGAATGGAGGAGGAGTAAGGGTTCTTGACGTCGACCTTGACGTGATACGAGATGCCGTCGACGGAAATACCCTTGATATCCACGTCGGAGATGCTGGCCTCCGGCATCGGCATGCTCGCCAGCTTCTCGCCCACGTAATTCTTCGCCTTCTCCACTAGATCCATTTTTTTCCTTCTCTGCAAGTATAATCACTGTATTTGTTAGGGAGAATTTAGAATCGGTCTTTTTCAAAACGCCATCCAATCCATATACAGTAAGTGAAAACCAACCAAACACGGCCTGGGCTATTTATTTTCCCACCCCCAATTTATACTGTAAAGGAGCGCCAAATTCCAATTCACGCCTTTCACGCACGACCAATTGTCTTCGGCAAAAAAAAAAAAATTGAGCAAAAGGTTACGAATCCTTGAGATTTTTAATACTCATTAATAAAGTTCTCATTTACTATTTACATGGTTAAACTTTATTCATTCTTATTTTTGTATCTTATTTGATAAAATAATATAATCATGCATGTCACTTCTAGTAGATCTTTTTATTTAGTTTTTAAATATGTAATTTTTATTTTTTAATTTCATACCATTTTTCATATAAAATGATTTGAAAATAATTTCAATCAAAAATCATCACGCGCAGACTTTATTTATGAACTGAGAGAGTATGTAAATTTTATAGTTAAGGCATCGTTTTTCATGGATTTATGATGGATATCATCTAAATCTTTCTTCTTTTTGTTCGTTACATCATCTCGCATAGATTCATCATTTTAACTATGTTGGTTTGGTTTTCTGGTCGGACGAATTGAAGTTATACACTAGGAGTGTCAAAGAATCCATTCAACCAAAAACTCAAGTTTGTGGCCTAGAAATGATAGTTATATACTTTAACACGCCCACTCACATGCAAGTGTGACCTCTTTGAGTCATGCACATAAAATCTTAATTTTTTTAAACTGGATGGCGGTAAGTTTCGAATTCGTGACCACTTGGATATCAAGGCATAATATCATGTCAAAGAACCAATTTAACCAAAATTTCAAGCTTGTAATTATGACATATGAATGATTGTTATATACTCTACCAACCAAACAACTGAGCAATCTATTGCTGGTCTTTCTTATACCCCTCCCCAATATGAGTTAATATGGAAGGTAATTCCTCTAAACATAGATTATACAAATTTACCATTTGTACACACAAAAAAAATTACTCCATCTGTCCCTAAATATTTGTCACACTTGTATTCGCGAGATAAAATATTAAGTTTTTTTTATTTATTTTATTTACATATTGGTATTGAAATAAAAAATAAAATTAAAATATCAAAAAAGTACATGAAACGTTTTTCGAAATAAGAGGTGTCAAAAATATTTTATTTTATCAAATAACCAATGAAAACGTAGAAATAAAAAAAAAGTTTCCGCGACGGTTGAAAAAGCAAATGTTGCAAATATTAATTTGTGTCCAAATAGTTATGACTCTAGGAGAAGTTAACCCTGAATTTTTGGTGAGTCATGTGGAAATTACGAGGGTGCCACATGGAATGCCAAGTACGGAGTATAAGAAAACCTAACGTTAAGGTGCTGGCACGTGTATTGTCGTCAGTGGCACGTGGATGGTCAGACTCAGAACAGCTGGAAAAGGCCGCCAAAGTACGAGGAAAATATGGTCGGCATACTGTACCCAAAAGATAGTACCGTACTCCCTCCAAATATTTTGAATAATGCATTAAATCCCATTTTTTTAAAAGTAGAAAGTTGCATTAAACAGTAATCGATTTGTCCAAAAAAAATTCCAGCTTGATTTAAAATGAAGATTAATAAAATTTAAAAAGTGTATACTCCTATTTTTCATGTATTGCCCTGATGCAATGGAATAAAAGGAATAGTTTAGATAAAAAGTTAGAATATTATGACACATTCATTAAAAGTTTTTTCCCAAAATAAATAAACGAGAAAAAAAATTCGGACGGCCCAAAAAACAATATGAGAAAAGAATTCATGGATGCCAGAAGTACTAGCTAGTATGTCTTTTTTATTTAAATATTGATGTAAAAACTATACATTTAAAAATGATGTCAAAAATTCAACAAAACAAGATGTGACAAGAATATGTAACTAAGTTCTATAGAGTACAAAAATAAGATATGACAAGAATATCTAATTTTATCAAACAATCAACGAAAAAATTAAGAATACTAAATTTTTTTTTCAAAATTCAAGAATTCAAATTTAAAAATTTAAATGAAACACTAGTTCTCAAACACTACCTTATATAATTCTTAAATTTTACGCAAAAAAAAAAAACAAGAAACAATAAATTGACAATTTTCCAAAAACAATCTATAAGCTCCAAATGCTCTAGTACTCTACTTGTTCTTTGTGTTTGCAGATTTTGAAGTTATAAAAAACACACTTCAAATTGGACCTGAGAATCCATCATGTCAAGGAACAACATCACCAAAGGGGGAATAGAAAGACTTTTACGGCCGGCGACGTCAAAAAAAACCTACAAAATTGACAAACCCTGCTCTGCAACAACATCAGCTGATGATCATCTTGTTCAGGAACGCTGCGGCCTGTTCCGGAAAGTACTCTAACAGCTCGTACTTTGTCACCCAAACGAAATCGTTGCACTTGTGAACATCAAACTTGTTCGCCGCGATCACTTGGGATTTAAAGAAGTAGCGCTGGCAATGCAACAACAAACTCAGCTGAATCCGACTAAAAAAGCACGTATGGAGAGGGTGAACATTACCAGTTCTTATTTTGAAGTAGGAAGACGGTTTCAAAGAGACTCTCGGCTCAAGCACAATGTAGAGATTTAGGTTGCGTTCCGTTCAACTTATTTTTTTAACTTATTACTTATTCTTATTAAAATTAGATTACATCAAATCAGAAACAACTTTAAATATAACTACAATCAGATCAGACAAACGGAATGCAACCTTACAAATACATGGGGCTACTATCTAAGGCCAATACAATTGGGAAACTACAAGAAAACTTACTTGATATTTAGCAATAACCATACAGGGAAGGTGAAAAAAGATTGAATTTGATGACCAATGCATTTGGGACAGTAAAATTTACTGACCTTTAGAGATGGTGATGGTTCATTGGCATTCTCGCTGAAGTGGGTGACCATATGTCCCATTGGAGCATTGCCGACGAAATAAGTGTGGGAGAGGTCTCCAATCACAGATTGTAAAGCAGACTCTGCACACTGAAAATACATTCTAAGTTTTCGCAATGTATTGCAACAATTATAATACAAGTCCAGGGAATTCCCTGTCTAAAATTAAAGAGCATGAGAGATAATGATGCAGCAATAACTTATTACCCTGCGTAGAGTCTCTTCTGATTCATATGCTTTTTCTGGGAAATGCCAAACGGGCTTCCCGTTGCTAGAAAGTGTTGTCCCGAACAGGAGAAGATAGAGCCTTTTGTCAAGTGCTCTGTTTAATGACCTTAAGAATACGGGTGGTGTTCCAATATCAATGAAAAAGAATCACATAAGTGCCTACAGAAACTATATAACAACTAGAGTTTTTTTTTTACAATTTAACACCGATATGAAAAGTAATAAAAGCATTTAGTTACTCACTTCGTGTCATTACATTTATCGGCCTCAGTGGTCCGAGGAGCAGGAGTATAATCAATATGGTATTCGCCTTTCCCTCTGGGACGAAGGGAGATCACTGTTATTAATTACAAGTATATTCTTCATGCAGTTAAAAGATGTAAATATGATTTGAAAGAAAATATTATGTTGTATATTTAGGTGCTTGTTTGGAGGGGGAAAGGAAAATGAATTTCTCCCTTCATTTGGTTCATAACATTTGGGAGAGCCAAAACTTTATCTCCCCTCCCCTCCAACCAACCAACCAAGCCCTTATTGGATAAAGGAATACGAAAAACAATCTTGAGGCTTAATGGCAACACAGGGACAACAACAAGTCAACAACCCAGTAAAATGCCACACGTGGGGTGTGTTTGCGGACCCCACCCCTATCTATAAAAAGTAGGGGAAGTGTTTCTGAAAGAACCCCGGCTCGTGCAGCACACATTATATCTAAAAAGGAAAGAACAATGGGGAAAAAACACGAATACAGTTTTAAGCATTAAGAAAGAAACATCAATAACAGAACAAGAGAGTTTTTTTTGTAATAAGAACAAGAGGACTTAGTTGCACTATAAATTGAAAAAAAGAAATCATGTAGGCAATCATAAGGGTGAGTGCTTTGGAGGAATAAGAGCAGAGAGGAGACCTAATTTGATTAAGAAATTTTGCTAATGGAGCAAAGTTCTCCCTCTCTTTTTTTTCTTTCCATGCAAATTGGATTTTTTTTGAATGGCAAACAAAGATTTAGTAACTACTCCTTCCCGAATCCATACACTCTTGTCCAACAAAACCGAACAAGGTTACAAAAAGAAAAAAAAGCTCCTCCATATCATGTCTTACCTTTAACAAAATGTATCCTAAGAAACTATGCACATTAACTCAAAAAATGTATAATACATATACTCCATAAAGATCATCGATGTGAGTTTTTTATATACCTGGAATCAGCCTTTTTCAATAATTTCTCTGGATATTCCCGTCTATATTGTTGCTTCCATCGGAACCTAGAAACTCATTTTAGACAAGAATCGCCTAATAAAAATATTGCAACACCACTTATCCACCAATAAAGCAATCTTCCTTGATCTCAATTTCGAAGGATGAGTGAAAGATCAAAATACATAACATGCCGAGCATTCAAATTTTAAATAGATTAAGAGCTCATTTTCCACTAAATCTATTATAAATAGAAAATTCAAGTTGTCAAATATTGAAACAATCATCCTCACAAACTGAAATAAGAACGGAAATGAAGATTTAGAAATCTCACGAAAATTCTTGAAAGGCATAAACAACGGGATCGATCTTTGGAACCACAACTGGAAGCCTCTCAAAAAGGACAGACGCTACAACTTTATCACCGCTTGAAGATGTGCTGAATGCTCGTTTGGCCAGCAAAGATAGACCAAAATACCTCTGCATTGTGGCAACCTATGAGATGCCAAAACAATGGATACGAAAGCCTGGTGCCATAAAAACTGCAAAACAACACTAGAATCAATTTGTTTACAATTTACATGTGTGATGCCTTGACATGGCCTAACTATGAATATACAGAGTATATACACTAATGCAGTCTGATATGTAAGTTTGTGCACACAATATGACTAGAACAACGGTAGCAAAATTACAAAAAATATCGTCATATACGTTCCATTTTCTTTTAATTTTAACTTCAGTCTTTTGTAATCCCCAATAAAATGTATCCTAATTAGTGGGATTCGTGCAGAAAATTATGCACTGCAAAACTCAAAACATTGCAATAATGATGGCTATTTTGAGTTTACGCATCAAAAACAAACTCTCTGTAATGAAATGTGACGGGTGCAGAGAATTATGCATTCCAAAACTCAACACATTGCAATAGTGATGCTTAATTCTTGCCCAACATCTATTCTTTAAATTATAGTTTTGCTCAGTTATAATACAAAGATCTGACAAAAACGGCAGATTTCACAATGTCATACTCGTAGAGAACATTAAAGATTAAAATGCTGTAAAATTTAAAGTAATAGACACTCCTAGCATTAAAAAAACAAGAAGGAAAGTGAACAACAAAATATATAAACCCTATATAAACAAAATTATATTCATAGAAAAAATTGAAAAACATATCCATATGCTCATGTAAAATGTAAAAATAAACTCTAAATGGTGGCGATTTTCAAAACAAAACAAAAAAAAATCTTCGCAAGCCCAAATGAAAGATCTGTGGAATGGGGTTCCAGATTTGGAATGTCAACAACATATATTCATATATCAACTCAATAATGATTGAAACATATAAAAAAAATTGTGTTTCATATATGAATTGTTGAAGGAGCAAAGACAAGATGATGGAGCTTAGAAAATCGAAATACCTGAGAGGAGGTGTTCTGTGGAAGAACGGAGGATGGGAGTCCAGAACCAGAGGGCAGGGGGGGAAACAAATCTGGCGGAAAGGGATTATTGTAGTGGATTTGGGCTTGCGTCTAAATCTAGAATATGAAGTTGGGCTCTAAATGTTAACCGACCCATACAAATTGTAGTCCTTTGGTCCATTTTTTTGGCTAATTTTAATTTAGGTGGTTCGTATTTCCACTGTCACGAAAACAATGCACTTTTTTATTTTCACGATCTTTAAAAAGTGTATAAAATGTATGATTGGAATTTGTTTTAATCAAATAGAAAAATCAAGTTGAATCCCATGTTTATAATTTTAAAACGAAATAATGTACGGAAATGAGAAATGTTTTTGAGATAAATAAAAAGAGAAAGTGAGAAACTACTTTTTAGTTCGAGGGTCTATATTTACACATACACATATAACAAAAATATATGAGTAAATTCTACAAAAGGTCTTTAGTTATAGGTCGTTTTACATATTTAGTCCTCAATTATTAAATATTCATTTCCACGAATGGTTCTTTGTTAACATTTCCGTTAAGAACGTGGATAAAATTGTAACTTCACTCCCTTCCTCTCCTCGCACTCTTTTCCTAAACCTGTCACGGAGTTTGAAGCTTTGAACCCAAAAATCAAAATTATCAATCTTCTCTCAATTGTTTGTCTAACTAGTGGAACCCAAAATCTAAACCAATAACCTTCATGGATGAGTTTTAATATTTATTTTCTTTGCAATTTTCTGAGACTAACTGATAAAACTCATCCATAAAGCTTATTAATTTTGATTTTAGGTTCCACTTGGAAGTCTAATAATTGAGAAGGGATTGATCATTTCAGTTTTGGGTTTAGAGATTCAAATTCAGCGATAGGTTTCGGAAAGAGTTCGAGAGGAGGGATGAAACTTATTAATTGAGGAGAGAGAGAAATATGAATATACAATTTTATCCATCTTCTTAACAAAAACGTTAATAAAGGACCATTCGTAAAAAATGATATATAATAATTGGTGACTAAATTAGTAATATTTGATATGTAGGGACTAAATATGTAAAACAATCTATAACTGAGGACCTTTTATTGAATTACTCAAAAAATATGCGTTGTAAAAATTACTCCGTACTTGGTAGGTTAAAATTAATACTTTATGCACTCTTTTTTTAACTATACATTTTAATCATTCATTTTAACTATCAATTTTAACTTTTGATCTTATAATTTCTACTTATACGCTTAACAGATATTATCGATCAAACATTGGACACAAAAAATATAACATACTATTAAAAAAGAATGAAGTGATGAAATAATTATATCAAAAAGACTATCTAAACAAAAAGCTCACATTTGTTATTGAGGATACTCGAGTATATTTATACACTAACACTCCACACGTGAATCTCATGATATTTGAGTCAAGAAATCCTTGATATCATATCAAGAAATCAAATCATCCAAACTTGAACTTTTGGTTGAATTTATTTCTAACAAATTAGTGTGCTACAAATATACCACACTTCAAATTTCGAACTACATTGTCAAACCTTGTCTATTTTGCACAAATTATCTAAACAAACAGACATAAAAGGGGTATCTAGTTCCAAAGTTTGAATGCAAGGTATGAGTTGGGTGTGTAAGGGTTTGTTTATTTTTTTGAAAAAATTAGCTTCCAACCTTTTCTCATTTTTTTCAATTCTTTTTAGTTTCTTCCGACAATAACTAAAAAAAATATTTACTTATGATGAATGCACAATAACATTAAATACTCAAATTTTTAGCACAACTCAAACACGGACAAAGAGACATTCTTTTTTATCCAAAACTAATTTTCTTACACATTCATTTGAGTGGTTGTTGTTTAATCGAGTGATTTTTTTACACTATTTTTTCAAATATTTATCAACTTCTTCTAATTTCTTCCAACATCCAAAACGAACAAAACCTAGTTAACATTCTCCAATTTGGATGGTGCATTATGAGGAATTGAGGTGTGAATAATTGCAGGCCACACATCCACATACAAAACTGACCAGTTACCAAGAATTCAACTGCCTTTGCACTTCCCAGCCCAGACAAAGACTGGTTTAGGAACACACCCACATTAATTCAACAGAACATTATGAAAGCAACCTAAAATTGACTAGGATTTCCAAACATGGGAAGACAAGAGTGTGCCCACAAACAACATGCAATGCACAAATTAAGCTAATTTTACAACATTTTTACTGGGTTCTCTTCACAACACTTGATATTTTTTTTTTGTTTTTGAATAGACATACAGAAGAAGAAGACTGTACAGATGGTAAGCTTCTTGCTTTATAAATGATAATAATACTAATAATGTGACCTCAGCTGGGCTTGCACCAATAAGAAAACCCAACATGCAAGAGAATTTTGATGGGGCCCACCCCACACTCCATTCAATGTTGGAGAAAAATAGGATGGATTGCCTCCAAGTGTGACCCGAACCCTCGTTCCACCGCCTTCTCACAGACATTCGCAAGAAACTTTGAGACTATTCCGTGTCTTGTGAATGCATGTGAGAATTAGGTGAGGTGAGATTTCGGGTCACATTTGGGTGGTTCGCGAAGCTTAATTCAAGAGATGACACAAGCATTGGGGTTCTCTTCAATGCTGTGGTGGTGGCCATAGTAGTATGTGTTCATGGGGGGATAGTAATACTGCCTGTAAGGCATTACTACCACCGGCTGCTGCGCCCCGGCAGGAGGAGGCGGACCCTGGGGCGGCGCTTCTGCCTTCTTCTCTGCCGCCTCCTCCTTCTTCGGCTCTTCCTTTGCCGGTGCTTGCGCTGGCGGCTCTTCTTTCTTCGCCTCTTCTTTGGGCGCTTCCCCTTTCTTCTCCTCCTCTTTCTTAGGCTCCTCCTTCTTCGGCTCCTCTTTCTTCTCGGGCTCTTTCGCGGGCCCTACGGAGATGATCTCTGTTCTCCAGACTTTGCGGAGTTTGCTCACCACCGTCACCGGATCAACTTTACCAATCACTGTTAGCTGCTTACTGCCCATGTCTATAGAGATTTCATCAATTCCTGCAGCAGTTTAGCACCCACAAACGCTATTAACATAATTCTACTAACAACTTCAGCCTTCAGCTTTAGGGTTTTGAATAGACTGTCTATGGTATCCAACGGTGGCATTAAGGGTCAGCACTTTCTAAGTTAATCTGCACACACCATTAGAATAATCTAAAACGCTTACACTAATCGAAAACTATGTTCCCAAACACGGCCTACAACTACTAAGCTCAGAGTATTTTTCACCATTTCCCCTTTTACACAAGTCTCTGTCCACACAAAAAATAAAATATGGAGGTCTTTCTTGTGCCAAACAACCATTTTTTTGCACCATTAGTGTTGTTGAAAGTGGTGTTGAAAAGTACTCCAAGATAAAGTGAAAATAAGTGTGAACGACCCATATATATAACGAAATATGAAATAAAAATAATGGTACATACATAAAAGGTAAAAAAAGCGATGATAAAAAAAAATTAGGACCGAGAAGTAATAAATAAGACCACATTTCTAATCGCCAATTAGTTTTGAAATGAAATCTCGCAATTCTACGCATTTTTATCTAAATAAGCTCAGTAAGATTAGGAGGTCCAAACTTTTGAATGGTGGGTGATGCATGTGTGATGTCCTAATGTAGAAAGCCCTAAAGAGATGCCTAAAAGGCTATAAAAGTTTTACAACTCAACTTTTTTCACACCCCTTTTGACACCAATGAATGATTTCACATACAAAAATTGTCTGTGAATTTCTTTTTTGGTGTCAAAGTTTTATGGTGTTGAAAGTTGGCATGCCATCAGCCTTTATACTAGTTAGTAGTTACTATATGTTTGCAAGCAAGCAAGGTTGCATTCTAAGGGAAACCAGAAGTCCTGTTTTTTTTGTAAAAGAAAATGACAAATATGCCCACAGTCTCTTCATTCAAAGCAAGTTGCATTGCAATATGAGAAGTCATATCTCTATGTGTAGTTCAGCAAAAAGGATATGTGTCCTACAATAAGTGGGACCCATCTGAGGTGGCACCTTGTCACACAGACAACTTTGCCTATTCTTTTCCCAATTCTATTGATGTTTGCAGCGACCAGCCCACCATTGATGTGTGAAAGGGCAAAAAATAAAGGAACTGTGCCAGCTGCCATGAAAATGAGGTCTTTTTTGCTTATAAAATCTAATCCCTTTCTCCCCCTCATTTGAGAGGGTCCTACGGTGCTTCGTTGGGCTCCAAAGCGGGTCCTGCACTCTTACCCCTCCTAACCGCCGACAAACCCCTCAATCCCCTAAAAACAATAGCATTTTGGCATTTCAAGGAGGCCGCGGGGTTGTTGGGTTTGAGGGATACGACCCGCTCTAGGGTCCCCAACGGATCATCGTAGGGGTGCCAAAGTCATATTATGACAACTAAAATCAGTGCCCAAAGAAGTTTTTACATTACTTGTTACTCAATATGCTGAATTAAAATCGAAGCAATAGATGAACACACTCACACACACTCAACACTTCACTCACCAAACTCGGGAAAAATTAGACGTAAAACAAAAAAAGTATAAACTATGATATGATACCAGAATGAAATGAAGAATTTATTTTGTAAAAAATGGAGATTAGAGTATGATATGATACCTGGAACAGCAGAGACCTTCTTCAATGCCCTACGTTTGTCGCTGTCGTCTGAAAGCTCCAATTTCAGCACTAATTTCTGCAAGAACTTCAATGTTTAATCACACCACTTGATGGGCATGTCATAAAAGCTCATTAATTTCACCCAAAAAAAAACACGAAAAGAAACAAGAAATTGACATCTAAATTAACCCCCAAAAAAAAAGATCACAAGAAAAATAAATGGGGCTTTCCATCTTCTCCTCATGATTTGTCATGACATGAATCCTGGCCAGAGAATTTCAAGTTCTCTTTTTTTTCTCATCAATTCATGTAGTCTTTCAAAACAATAAACAAGATTCTAATACCCATGTCAAGAATCAAATTAAATTCAACCAAAAATCCGAAGAATGTTTTTATACTCCTAACTAATAGAGCCAAGCTACAAGCGATCTATCCTAAAGAATCTTAAACAAAAATGAAGCAAAAATTTAAAAAAAAAATTGTTTCGAAATGGAAAAAGGGGGGATGGAGAGTGGAGAACGATGATTACCTTCATGAGTAAGTTTCTGCTGCCCAGAAAAGGAAAAAACACAGAGTAGAGAGAGAGAGAGAGAAGATTTGAGGGTGGAGAGGGAAAGATGAAAAACCAAACAAAAAACACACAGCTGGTTTCAAAGGTTGCTGCAGGCTGCTTTTGAATTGAATGAATCAAATAAAAGAAATTTTAAAAAGAAAAGCTTTTTTTTTTTGAAAGATGAAAAAAAGGTGAAGTACTGCGAGAATATGAATCAACAAACACAATAAAAGCGGTACGAAGTACTTCGCGGTACAGTTATTTCTTTGGAGACCACGCGCGGCGCTTGAGCGTGAGGCCCGACTCTTGGAAAGAAGTAAAAGAAAAAAAAAAGTTGAATGCTAGGCCCATGGGCGTTCCGCAACTTGGCCCGTGGTTTATAAATCATGATATAATCTATGAGGCCCAACTCATGTAATCATTCAAAGCCGTAGAAACTAGAAAGATTCGTTATGTTCAATTTATTTTTTCAATTTATAAGTTATTTTTATTAAAATTAAATCAGATATATTCATATTAGATAAGAGCATCTCAGATTTGAAATAACTTTAAACGTCACCACAATTAGATCAAATTAGACGAACGAAATGTATCTTAAGTGTGGCTTTGTTGACGTATCAAATAGGAGTCCAGTCACGCAAGGTTTGGACATGGGTTAAATCTGACCAATCGGGGTTGGACTTAGGGTCAGATTTGTATTGACTACCTATACCTCCAACCCCCAAGATTTAATTTTCAATTCTAAAAGAATATGGTCTTAAGGACATGAACAAACAAGGTTGGTTGGCAACATTGTTAGAGGTTACAAATGACTTCTCAAAAAGGCTATATATGTAACTGCAATGTTTGATGTTATCGTTTTCAAAATCAATTTACATTATAAAAATTTTATATGAAACGCTAACATTATTCGAAAATGTTATTTCTAAACAAGGTCAATTATAAGCGGCGATATTGTATTAAAGTGTTTTCTTACAAAAAGTATGCTCCGTAAAATGTAAAATTGAGCAGAAGTTTAATTTATCAGTGTTTATAATCTAATCACAACTACTTATAAGATATTTCTAAATTATAAATCATCTTATGACATCTTTTCCTGTGTTTATAAGCTGGCTTATAAGCTAACATATTTAGTAAGTCTTATGTACTTTTTTTAAGCAAATTTTTTCGTTTCTCCACTTATCTCTCACAATTCATGAATATTTTGGAATGACTTATCCCTCATTTAAGTCATTTTGACTTACACAAAAAATTATTTAACCTATAAACATCTTATAAGTTGAAAAATATTTATCAGCAATAAGTCAATAAATATTAACACAGTGAAACACTCCCTAAAATCTAAGTGCAACTAAAACAGTTAATATATACATAACGACGTAGTTTTTGAAAAGCAATCCAATATATTATACTCGGGTTTGATTCCTGGTAAATATAGGACTTCTGCAATAGTTATTAATTTATGATTAATAGTCAATATCAGTTCTAAAAGAGTTATGAGAGGAGGGATAATTTTTTTTAAGCAAAATTAAAAAATTAAGATCGTCTCAATCAATTGAATGACGTCTAAAAACTCCCGAGATTATTTTGTGTGATCTCTTACGTGATGAATTTCAGGCGGTTGAAATAGTGGGAAAGGAGGCCCATGAATCATTGTCATTTTGTCCCTCTTAATGGACTAATTAAGACCGCTAATCAATACTCCGTAGAATTAAGTGATCAACCATTCACTCATTGCTAATTTAACAGTAAATTTTTTTTTCCAACTCAAATAATTTCTATTTTCTTGTAGGACGTCTCAAAAAAGTAGTTTTCTCTTTACTTTATGAAAAAAAATAAAATTGTGGCATACTTTTGTTTTCTTTTTAATGCATGATTTTCAATCATACAATTTTATTTTTCTTTAAAGTTGTATAATGAAATTAGCAATATGCGGTGAATCTAGAAATTTGGATAGATGAGGGTACAATTGATTGGAGCACGGGGCAGCATTCATGATTTTTTTAATAGGCAATATGAAATGACAAAAAATAGTGAATTTAATTTCAAACATTTACTGAATCCGAAATATTATTTTCATTAGCAATGCAATTTGTATTTTATAAATAATTACTAATATGAAATAAAATACTTTTTTTTTTGAAAAAATGAAAGCACACTTATATTATCATCAACCTCCAACAAAGCAATACAAGCCGAACAACTTACACCTACTGAACCATACTAGCCAAACAAACTATTGTATGTGTCTTTTGTAATTTACAAAGCACAAAGTTAAAATTTAAGTATTCAATAGTTTGTTGTACACTTATATTATTTTGATTAATTGATTGTTTCTCACTCTCCAAACTCCATAGCATCCACATGCCCACACACTGAGCTAGAATCCTCCCCTTGTCATTCACATATTGATCATTACTCTTCATAATAAGCTCTCAAAATTCTTCAATGCTTCTTGAGTGGTAGTGACTATAGTGGGAATGTAAAATAGCTTAGAAAACTCTCCTAGCATACTCACAATCACAAAATAATGCTTACCCTCATAGTGGAACACACCATATAAGTTGTATTTAATTTGTAGGACCTCGTGTGTTACTAATTTTTCTAAAACCTATTGATGTTAGAAGAAGCGCATACCTTATCCTTATAGTGCATTCTGCACACACACACGCTCTCACGATATTCGATTACGACTTGACCTACATAGCCTCTGTCACGAGACAATTGATACACACATACATGACCAATAATCCCCTCTCAGTAATTGCTCCTGCTAGAAGTCAAACTCGTGACGTTGGCTCCGATGCCACTTGTATGGTCTCAAGCGTAACAAACTCTTCTAAAACCAATTGATGTTCGAAGAAGCGCATACTCTAGCCTTATAGTGCATTCAACACACAAGTGTCCATAATATTCGAGTATGACTTGGCCTACATAGTCTCTTCCACGAGACAATTGTAACACTAAGAACAGTATTCACTATAGACGTGAGACCATTTTTTCATCCTCTCCTTGGTANGTAAAATTTGTTCCAGACTCAGCCAACCCAATAAAGAATAGTGTTTTCCCCTAGATTCACTCATGCATTGCATATCCCTACTACCTAAAGTTCTATCTCACTATAATAATTTGTCTCCAACAAAATACACGCTACTAAATACAAAATTGAATGGATAATTAGTTAATTACTAACTCCGTCCATAAATATTTGTATACTTTTGATTTTTTGCAGTAGAAAAAGAAAGCACTTCAAATATTGATAAAACATATATAGAGAAAATACTAAAATATGCACATCATTTCTGAGGCTCTCTTCTAACCTAGACAGAAGTCACTGAAAGAAAGTAAATTATAGGTTAGTCCTCATAGGTTGGTGACAAAAATTAGAGATACTTGAACATGTTATTTGCTTAGCATAATTGAATTAGTTGGGAAGGAAGTAAAAGTCTTTGGAGGGGTGATAGATTTTGGGATGGGTTGCTGTCGAGGGGATGCGTATATGGCCGACCAAAACCATGCAACACATCCAAGTCAAACGTGACCTCCTAAAAAGTTTTAATTTTTTTTTTCTCTCCAATTTTTCCAATGGAAGATTTCAAATAAAAAATTCTTCCATTCTAAGCAAACCTTGATTTATAACGTGCCCAAAGAAACGTTGATTCTAAGTATTTTTATTGCACTAAGAGAACATAGGATGTCTGTTTCCAGATGACCCATGATGAGCGTCGAAAGTTGCATTATTAACTCTTACGTGCTTCTCAATTACAAGAAGCGCAAACAGTTTAAGGAGTCAATTCACTTTATTTCATCATATTTCAAAGCCAGAAAAATGTGAATCTTTGACTCCAAATGGGAATGAAATATCAAACAAGGTTCATATGGTTAATTAAAATATATATCTTTATCCCAGTTTAAGTGATGATTTAATAAAATAAATTAAAATTTATTTCTAACTTGTAAATGGAAACCATGCACATATATTTTAGGGGAAAGAAGTAAAAAAAAAAAGGTAACCCAAGTTACCACCAACATCATTTCGAGTCAAATGTTAATTTCATTCAATTTGAACGGTTAATAAATGAATTCAAGTTTCCAGAAGAGTAATCAATCCATAAAAGGCAAATGCTCTTTTGTCCGGCCCCTACATCGGTCAATTCTCCATAGCACATTATCCTTTGCGACTTGCGAGGGTTAAGTCCTCTAATTAATACATTGAAAACCAAATCCTACTTAAATATGGGTTAATTTTGCCACACGCGAATTAATTATATAACAAATTATGAAAAAAGTATATTTAATTATAATGTAAATTTAGTAGAATTTAATTTATTTTAAAATATTGTATTGAAGTATCAAGTATTAATAAAATTTAATTATTTTAAATTATATTTAGTTTATAATTAAATGGTGTCACACTTTAACAAAAAAAGTCAAACTTTATCATTTTTTATAGAGATTTTTAGTCATTAGTTCGTTGTCCAATATTGAAAACCTTCAAGATACATTTTGAAACCAAATATTAGCCCATGAGTTAAAAACCAGCAAATTTACCAATATTTCTCCGTCCCTAAACCCCAATAGTTGGTCTTTTTGCAGGGCCCATAACTAATTAATGGGAGTTGATATCTACACTCCATAATTTATTAATGACACTCCACATTTTATATTTTTTTAATAGATGGACAATGATAACCTTTTTAACTAGAAGATCTCATCTTCATCCTACATTCCTATTAGACATGATTTACCCCATTACTTCTATCGTAATTTATTTGCCAAAAAACTGTAACTTAATCATTGATATTTATATTATCCATTTAACAAATTTTATAATTTTGAGGATTATAATTTAATTAATACTCCATACTTATTTATTAATTTGTTAATAAATAATTATGCTTGTATATAAATAAATATTTCAACTATAAAAATTTGATGTATAAAATATATATTTTCAAATAAACCCAACTATAATAAATTTAAGTTATAACTGAATATATACACTTTTCTCAAAACGTGATCAAAACCATATAAAATTTTATTGAAAAAAATCAAATTTAAAATTTGATTGAGAAAAATCGAATGCAAATTTTTTTAAGATAGATGAAGCAAAATGAAGAGTGCTTATTTGTTGCACCAAAGTTACAAAAAGCATGTGGACTTTCTCACATAAAAGTGGCTCTGTCTTTTTTTTAATTTATAATAAGCATGTTCATCTCAACATTAAGCAAATGTAGCATAATTTGCCTAAAATAAAATTGTCACAGTAATTACTTTCATGATTTTTTGATAAAATAAAATAATCAATCATGTCTTAATTTGCTAAAAATTTTTGTTAATGTTTTAAAATATATAAGTTTTTTAGTTTTGGATGACCACTTTGAGTTAGATAACATGATACTCCATTGCATCCCTTCAAATCTTAGTTACTCTTTTTCTTGTTCTCGTTACTTATTTGATAAAACAATATAGAACTCTGTTATAGCACCTCTGGTTTCGTAGAACATTTGATACGTTTTAAAAAATGTAATTATTTTATTCCATGCCAATTTTCAAAAGCGTGGGAGAAAATTGTGATAATAATTCTTTGATAGAATTGCGTTTTTTGAAAATTTTCAATTAATTATAGTATATTTAATTTTATTTTACGACTTTATGATACTGTGCACTAATTAAAATAACTATTTGGTGTGTTTCTAATTACATAAACAAAAATTAGTACAATATTATAAAATTTGTTAAATAAGTATTTCCCTAAAAAATTAGTATAATTTAATCCTAAAAATTATAAATCTTGTTAAATAGTTAATATAAATATTAAAGATTTAAAGGGATGATGAAAATGAGGTATTTGTAATTGATAGGGCAAAATTATCAATCTTTTAAAAAATAAAAAAAAGTGGAGTGCAACTAGTAAAATATGGAGTGTAGATATCAATTGTCCTAATTAATCTGTCACATTAGCCCCCCTAAGCGGAACGCCCGATATCATTTTTTAGTACTCTCTTTGTTTCAATTTAGATTGTTTGTTTGAATTCAATATAATATTTATTAAGAAAATAATCTTAACATATGAAAAAATTGAATAAAAAATTCTACGAAACACATATGACATTACTATATTATTTTATCAACCCATTAACAAAAATAGAAAATAAAGTTGATGAAATTTGATTACATATGAAACTTAATTTGGGGCAGAAGTAGTGATAAGTAGTGTTGGACTTAGAACATCTCAAATTATGCTTGTTTTATAGACTTGTTATTTTTACATTACAATACGTAAATAGTGATAATTGATATACCACTCTGTCTGAAAATTTGTTTCTCAGATTCCTTTTTGTTCAGTTTAGAAATATTCTTCTTATTTCCTCTTTTAACTTATTTTTTTTAAGAATTATGATTAGATATCAATAACACATTTCCACTTTTTAACACCCACTCATCCAAGTTAACCCATACCCTAAATTAAAGCAGGAGCATTATTGAAATATGACACTGTACATGTATATTTTACTATATTTTTTGGAAATATACATAGTCATGATTGATAATGTAAACATATTTTAATGCCTATTTCAAAAATATAAATATAAAACTCTTATTTTAGTGTTTTTCAATATTTTATTTTAACTCTTTTTACCTAAACCTACACCTTAATAATTTTTTTTGCAAAATCATTAGTCACTCTATTGACTATCTAGCATTCCATTATTTACACCCTCCATCTCAATTTATTTGCAACACTTCGAACGACGTGCAAAATATTATCTCTTTTAACATTACTTTAATTTCAAATTGGTAGAGTAATAAAAAGTAAAAATTACACCATTTAAAAGTATATGAAAAGCTCTACAAAACAAGATGCGACAAGAATATTTTATTTTATCAAATGGTCAACCAAAACAAGTAAACAAACAAAAGTTATCGAGATGCCTTAAACTTCAAAGACTTAAGCGGAAATATGATATTTTGGGGGGACATTTGTGTGAAATGTCCATCTGCTCCCCGGTTCTGTTCATCTTTGCTCCATTTCTCCATTAAAGCTCCGAGGGAAGAACAATTGCAGGGAGAAGAACAGTGTAGATATCCTTCGTGATGAATTCGAAGAAGAAGGAGGCTCATCCTTCTTCGTCTTCTAGATCTCCGGCGGGAATGGAGGACCGGAGCATTCAGGAATCTCACAGACAGCAAATGCCTCTGGTTGTCACTCTGAATTGCATCGAGGACACGTCCTTTGAGCAGGACTGCTTGGCCGGCGTCGTTGTGGTCGAGCACGTCCCCCTCAGCCGGCTCGCGGAGGCACGGATCGAGTCCGCTTCGGCCGTGCTGCTTCACTCGCTCGCTTTCCTCCCTAGGGCCGCCCAGCGCAGGCTTCGTCCGTGGCAGCTCATTCTATGCCTTGGCTCTTCTGATAGGGCTGTGGATTCCGCCCTGGCCGCTGACCTCGGACTCACTCAGCTTGTACACGTCGATTGCAGTAGGGCAGAGGAGGTCGCTGACACCGTCATGGCTCTCGTCCTTGGCTTACTGCGTCGCACGCATTTGCTCTCCAGGCATGCTTTGTCTGCTTCCGGTTGGCTTGGCTCAGTCCAGCCACTTTGCCGTGGAATGCGCCGTTGTCGAGGTCTTGTGTTGGGGATCATTGGAAGATCTGCCTCTGCGAGGTCCTTGGCTACTAGGAGCCTGGCTTTCAGGATGAGCGTCCTCTATTTTGATGTTCAGGAGGTATATGGAAATAAGGATTTATTTGTTCTATTACATGCTGCAGTGTGTTTGATTTAAACCTAGTAAATGTACTCACATAAATTAATGAGTTTATGTATGAATGGTGAAACTATTATATGGATTCCATGCTATATTTTGGCTGGTTTGAACTTAATGACCATATAAGGCTAGGTTAAGTAGATAACAAATGAATTCACCACTCCATATGAAGTAGTCAGTGTCCCTGATAGTGCCTTTCTGGAAGTGTCATATGAGGTTTCGGATTATGATTTTAATGAATCATCATTGTTAGTTCCTGATGTTTACTTTATTACTTTAATTCAAGACCTTAATGGGCAATTGGGCATTGTAAACCTCTCCCAAATGCTGAGTTCATTACTTAGTCTGCTCGTTGTTCATTGTCAACCTGGATTTATTGGGTACATGTTAAATGTGACATTGCTTCTCGGCAATTTAAGATTGTATGGTCATGTATACCCATGCTCGCTGCTCCTTTTATAAGTTTCAAACTTGCTTTTATGTATCAAACATGCTCAGGGAAATGGAGAAGTGAGTCAAGCTTCCATACGGTTTCCTCCTGCAGCCAGGAGAATGGACACTCTTAATGACTTGCTTGCTGCAAGTGATGTTATATCGTTACACTGTGCCCTAACAAATGAAACAATTCAGATAATCAATGCAGATTGTTTGCAGCACATAAAGCCTGGTACTTTTGAACCTTAGACTGTGTGTACACGACATATTGATTTATCTCGTATAACAGGGAATCAAGTAGTTGGGTGTTCAATGCAGGGGCATTTCTTGTCAATACTGGTAGCTGCCAGCTTTTAGATGATTGTGCCGTGAAGCAACTTCTGATAGATGGATCCCTTGCCGGATGTGCTCTGGATGGTGCTGAAGGGCCACAATGGATGGAAGCATGGGTATGGTGCATAGTTTTAGGGTATGAGTTATTAGGAGGAATATATTTGGAGCATACTGATTTTACATTAGAGTTCTGTTTGAATCTTTTTGTGGCTGCATTGCCTGTTCATGATATACATTGGTCGGCTACATGGACCAAACATTCAAACGATGCCATTGCGCCCTATCATGTACGGTATCATATATGCTGGGAGGCTACAATCGATATAGGGCTATGTTATAATACTAGTATGCATCAATGCATGTGATTGTGATGCAAAAATTGATCACTTGTTCACATTGTTAGCAACATTACAGTCTAGGGTATATTAATATCACGCTATCAGTTTCAGCATGACTGTATAATATTGATCTTGATTTTATTTATGATGCTATGCCATCAGATCAAGGAGATGCCCAATGTTCTGATACTTCCACGCAGTGCAGATTACAGTGAAGAGGTGTGGATGGAGATAAGGGAAAAAGCTATTTCCATGCTGCAGGCATTCTTCTTGGATGGTGTAATTCCAACAGATGCTATATCTGGTGATGAAGAGGAAAGTGATATTTCCTATGGAAATGAAGAGTGTAACACTCAAAATAGTCTGTGTGTTTTGCCGGGTCCTATTGGTGAGAGATACCCTGAAGATGTCAACTTAAGTGCAGATAGCTCGCGGAAAAAGGTTATAAGTGAGCCAGAGGGAATTCCCATTCAGCCTCAGGGGTCTGCTTTGTCTCCAAGTGTTTCTGAAAGATCTGAAGTAAAGAGAAGCAGATCTGGTAAAAAGGCTAAAAAGCGGCATGCTCGCCAGAAGTCACAACAAAAAGTAGATGATCATATAAAATTTGAAAAAGAGAACACCTCACAAAATGAAGATGGTACTACATTGAGTGGAACGGATCAAGTGTTGAGTTCTAGTCCACGATTTTCATCACCAGAAGGTGCAAGAAGTAGAAAAACACCAAATGAGTTCATACAGGAATCTTCATCTTCAGAGAGACTTCCAAAATCAAACATGAATCTCAGTAGAAAATCAGGTGGATTATTGAAAGATGGATATATCATAGCTTTGCATACACGACATCACTCTGCACTCCACATTTCTAGACAAAGAGTTCAAGGAGGAGGCTGGTTTCTCGATACAATGTCAAATATCACAAAGAGAGACCCAGCTGCACAATTCCTCATTGCTTTCAGAAGCAAGGTGTGTATGCAAAGACTTGCTTTCAATTCAATGAACTCATGTGGCCCAATGCTGTTTTCCATTTGGATTTATTGATAAGTGACATCGGGACACTTTTTACAAACACAGCTAAGCCCTTGAAAATTTATTGAAATAAAGAAGAAAATTACAGAGTGATGCTAATCAAGTCAGTGGATGCCATTTTGCAGGATACAATTGGGTTACGATCATTTACTGCTGGTGGAAAGCTATTGCAGGTTTGTCTTGTCTCATGCATGTTGGAAAAAGTTTTTGTAGCTATTATTTGGAATTCCACTGAGAATTGTGTCCATCCAACTTATGCTAGAATGTCTCCAAAGCTCTTTTTCATAAGATATAGTATCTCCAAAGCTACTCTTTATTCTGGAGAGCATGTGGTAATTTGTGTTAAGCATAAAAGAGCATTTTAAGGTATCTATTTTAAATAGTGAGAAAAACTTTTAAAGTTCCAACACCACTCTTTAAATAGCTCTTTATCTGATTCATGAATGGCCATTCTTTTTTTAAATTGTAAAAGCCGGTGGGTCCGATATTTCTATATAAATGCCGTTAACATTCAGTATTAGGAGCTCTATGTTTGAAGAACCAAAGCTCATTTTTTGAATCTTTAATTTAAAGAGTAATTTGGAGTCATGACTACACAATAAAAAGAGTACTTTAAAGAGTTATCTTTAAATTTAAAGAGTAACTTGGAAAGAGCCTCTCTAGACTTGCTTTTCTAGAATTCTACTGGGTTGTTGTTGACCACACAATAATGATGTCAATTATTTAAATTGATTAAAGAAAATGAGAGGGAAAACATTTTGTTATGTTGGTTAGAGAGGAAAAGAAAAAAAAGAAGACAATATACTAAGAGGGGAATCCAAATCCCCCAATTTTGGTGAAGAGAGAAACCTATTTTTTTTCTTTCCAAATTCCATAAACCAAGCATAGTGTAAAAGGAATGAGAAGTTTATTTTCGGACAACCCGAAAAGGAAAGTGAGAAGTTTAGTTTGAAACGGAGGGAGTATCGTTCTGCAACATTGTAATGACATGTTCTTTTTTCTTCTTCTTTATTTCTGTGGACCATTGTGTATGAAGCTACGGGATATATCACAATATTGCTTATATTCCATTCTTTCTAAATATACATCCTGGAGAAAAAAGTCCTACCCTTATGCTTTAAAAACAATGTAGTTGAAAGAATTATGAATTTAGTGTCCCCAACCAAGCTAAAGAATGCAGAATACTGCGAATTGAGCCCATCTACCATTGAACACTGTGTGAATAGTTTTTGCCAAAAAGTTTGCACATGGGTGAAAATCTCACGTAGTCACGTTAACATTATATGGTGTAGTATGGATGTTAGGATAGTTCCACTTTGACATTGCGTTCTTGCTAAATGAACAGGTCATGAGTTCCAACAGCTCTGCACCTCAATTGTTGCTTATTTGACTTTTTATTGGTGTTAACTTCTTTCATTTGTTGTTGGTGCTAACTTCTTTCATGAGTTCCACTTTGACTTTTTATTGGTGTTAACTTTAATGCAAACCCTGATATGTTGAAATTGAACCCCTCCACCCCTGGATTGCCTCTTTCCTGATTAGGAAATGTAAAAGATTCAGAAGTGTGAAACCTACTTTTTGGGGAATTTACCTAAATAGTAGAGTACTAAAACATAGTGACTTTTCCAATGTAGTACCATATGTTTTTATTTCCCAGTGCGGCCATTGTTCAAGTAGATGTCTACCGCCACTGGACATTGTTCAAACTAAATGTCCACCATCACTGGACATTGTTCCTGCCACTAGACATTATTCAAGCACTATTTAGGGAATAAAAAGGTTTAAGTACTACATTGAGAAATGACATATGTTTTAGTACCATTTAGTGCAAATTTCACTTCTTTTTTATGTGTCAATAATTGGTATTGAATTTTTTTCCAATGCTTATGCAAATGGGACATAGAGTTTTTGTTAATATGTGTTCCCTTGTGATATACTCCCTCCATTCCACACAAAGATCCTTGTTTGAGTAAGGTACAACCTTTTATTTTTAATCAACCCAATCTTACTCCTAATTTTTATAATTTATGATTTATGGTCACTTATAAACCTAATACTTATTTCCAAGATTGTTTGGTATAATTCATCAAACTTTTTTGTGGCTTGACTTTGCATGAATTTTGCTTGAAAAAGAAAGGTGAATTTTAGACATGGACCTTTTTTTGTCCCTGAAGTTTTTGGAACACGACTTTTTTGGGGGCACAGGAAGTATATCGTAAAGCAGGAGGTAGTCACTTGATTAGGGATTTATAAGCCTCACATTATACTTTTCAATGCACTTTTTGTAAGTGGCTAAATTGAGAGGTCCTCAGCTGCTTATTTAATAATCCGTGCACATTCAATTTTCTTATGAATGTATGATTCATGAGTATTGATGCATTGTTATTGTGAATAGTTTTTCCTTTTACATTTTGTTGACATATGATCTTTATAAGCTATAGTAATAAAGTGAGATGAGTGCTTGTCTGGGATTTTAAACCCCGTTTTGGGTGTTGCAGATTAATAGGCGGATGGAATTTGTATTTGCAAGCCACAGCTTTGATGTTTGGGAAAGTTGGACATTTGAAGGTTCTATGGAAGAATGCAGGCTCGTGAACTGTAGAAATCCTTCGGTACGTTGACATTTGCGAATCAAAGAAATACTGTAGCCACTGTTCCATATTTGTACCATTTTCTTGTATCTTCTCAATAATGGTGTTGGCATTAGGGTTTGAGGGTCATCTAAATGCATACATTTATAGATTAATTTATATAATTTGAAGGTCGGAATGGCTCAACTATGACAACTATGGACTATGCCGCAGAACCTATGATTGAGCTAACCATCTTTCTGTTTCAACTAGCTTCAAATATAATTTTGCATCATTGATACCCAGAAAATATAGTTAGCGCCGCCATTGAACTTGCTGCTGGTCCCATAAGTGTTGTATTTGACATCGCATTATGTTTTCCATGAGTTATATGTTACCAACTGCTCTTAATATCTACTCTGCCCTTTGTAGGCTGTTCTGGACGTACGCATTGAAGTCCTTGCAGCTGTAGGAGAAGATGGTATCACACGCTGGCTAGATTAATTAGGTAGGTACGGACGACATTCAAATGAACTTAAGAGTAATGAGTGTTAGTACTTCTCTCTCTCTCTCTCTCTCTAGGTCATCAAAATGTTGTAACTTTAATGGATGTATTGAGTCTTTATTGACAGCTACCTTGAGTTTGTTTTTGACATGGAGACCGAGAATTTCGATAAAGAAAGACGAACTCGTAGAATACCCGAAGACCGGCTAACAGTTACCTGGACGGAGGTAAATTGAGCTATAATCTTAATTAGACATGACTCATGAGTGTGATTTGTTCCTAGAAGGTGCAAGGGTTTCATGCAATGCATGATCGTCCTTGATCGCCGTTGCTAGTAGTCGAACACGAGTGTTATCCCTTTTGTACTCATTTGCAAGACCGAAAATTCCGGTTTCAAGTGAAATCTGTTTGTGTGTACTCTGCATAACACTAAATCTGTGCCTTTTTTTTTAATGAGTGAAGCTTTATAGAAGTGTGGAAAATGGAATGGTTAAATCTGATTTGGTGTATTCCAGGAGTATCATTCTTTTTTCTTGATCACTTTTCTTCAATTTTTTTACTGTATAACTATACAAACACCATTGTTAGAGCATTTGCAATCATATCATTTTGGCTTGTTAAAAATTATAATATAGCAAGTCAAGTCCTTTTGTTCATCTCTAAAGGGTGTGCTATATTTTCGCAAGCTTGCCAAAAAAATGACTCTGGCTTGCTAAATACAACAAACTTCTCAAATTAAGGAAGTCTATAGTTTAAGGGGCTATCTTTTGAGGAACTTTAGGTGAGGCAGACATGACTTATATGTATAAGGTACGTGTGGTGTACAAATACTTTTTTTGTCCCCCCCCCTACTCATGTTGCATTCTAAGTTTCTGGTTTTGTTTTTTGGTACACAAAAAGTTTGTGTGGTTGAAGTTTTTGCTGTTGTAATTTGTTACTAGATGAAAGAACTTTTTTTGAGCTACCTTTTCAAAAAATTAAAAAGAAATAAGTACATAATGTTACACTTTTCTTGTCCTAATTTTTTATATATAGATTTTATTTGATTTTTAAAGAATTGAACGTGTGGCTTGCATTTTTTCTCTTCTAACCAAAATATTTTTACTCCCTCTTTTTCAATTCAAGTTGTTTGAATTGGAATTGTTTGTTTGCTAATTACAAAGTCAAACATTTAGGGGTGAGCGTGGTACGGTATGGTACGGTATTTAGCTCGTACCGATACCGTACCAAATATTTCGGTTCGGTATGGGATTTTACGTTGTACCGATCCCGATCCCGATCCCGAAACATTGGTTCAGTATGGTTCAGTATGGTTCGGTACGAATCAGGATGAATATATACGTATCTAGTTTACATCATAAAATATAACAAAACCTTTTATTTTTGAAAAATCGAATGTACATTAAACCAAAGAAAGATAAAAATATTCAAAAATGAAAAAATAAAATGCAAGAAATGTTGGTGAAAGTTAGTTTATATTTCACAAACTAAAGAGAAAGAGTGATAACAAAGTACCATTTCAAATATTTGTTAATATTCTTTTACTCATCTACAAAAAATAAAAAACTCTTATTAAAGTGCAATTTAAACATAATGAAAATAAACTAAATTGTCTTTATAATTTTTTTATTTAATGAAGAAATATAAAAAGATTATTATATTATAATATATTAGTATGCATGTTTGGTTCGGGAATTTCGGTATGGGAAGTAACTTCGTACCGTTCCCAAATACCGGACCGACCGTTCGGTTCGGTTCGGTTTCTTTTCGGAACTTGATCGGTTCGGTATTTTTCGGTTCGGTATTCTCGGTTTTTTCGGGAAATATCGGGATCGGTTCGGTCCTTGCTCACCCCTACAAACATTAACCAACTTTTAAACAACTTTTAAAGTGAAATTTACTCAAAATAACACCTAAGCATATGGAGTTTATCTAAATAGCACTAGTCTTTTTTTAATAACACTCTTTTTTATACGGACTCCCAAATCTACCCTTTTCCCCTTTCACGGTAGGACTCCAAACACATAAAAGAACATTGTCCTAGGATCATCCATTTACTGCATTAGCTAAAATCCAAACTCATAATCTTTAAATAATACAGTACTCATTTAATCTTTGATAAATAATATATACTAATATCATCTCTTGTTATGAAAATGTAGTTATAGTTTTTAGATATATAAATTTTATTTTTAGATTTTATACTAATTTTGGTATAAATTGTATTAAAAATTATTTTATTAAAATATCGTAATTTAAAATTGCTAATTTAAATTGTGATAAAGAGAGTATAAAAAAGGTATGCCTAATGTGCGAGTCCTAGAAAAGGAGTGGGTGGGCTCCATGCATTCCACTCTTCGCCTTTTTCCAACTAAGCGTCACGTCAGCTTCTACTTTTTTTTTTCTTTTCTCCTTCAATGAAAATACTTCCCCTTTTCCCCTTTAAATTTTTAATATTATTTTTTAATACTTATTTTAATTCAAATAAATAAACTAAAAAAATTAAGTTATAGAAAAACCGAACATTTTATAAAAGATTGTAATAGTTGAATATTTTATTAAAATATAAATTTAAATAAGAATTACAGTTGTGCAATAAGAAATATAATAATAGTGCATAAAACAATACATTTTAAAAGAAAAATAAGAATAATATTCATAATAAACATAATAATAAGAACTAAACATATGACTAAAGCGTTGTGTTTAAATACTGAGAATTTTAAAAAATTTTGAATTTTTTTAGTCCTAAATTTTTCAAAAAAAGAAAAAAAGAAAAGATAAACGTTGGCCAACGGGAAAAACGAGGAGAGAGCCCCGCTCTNGGGTTGTTCCCCTTCCCTTCCGTTGCACACCCCATAGCCTAAGAGTAAGATTTGGATGAAGGTATTTAAAAGTGATTTTCAGAGTAATATAATTATCTTTCTTTTGTATGTGATTGATATGATTTTTGATAAAATAGAACTTTAGAGTTGAAGAAAAATAAAAATTATTTCCGTCTCAAATAAAATTGACTGTTTATTAATTACGTGGTTGAATTCTACTCCTTCCGTCTCAATTTATAATGCTTGTTTCGGTTTACGATGTTTGACTGAAATTATTTTCAAATCATTTTATATGACAAATGGTATAGAGTTAAAAAAATAAAAATTACATATTAAAATACTATATCAAAAGATCTACAAAACTAGTAGTGATAATATTACTTTATTTTATCAGACATTATAATTTTGACCTTGTGAATAATGAATAAAGTTTGACCTTGTAAATAGTGAACAAACATTATAATTTGGGACGGAGAGAGTATTAATTTTCTATTCTTATAATTGTTATGATAAAATAACATAATTATGTCATCTTTTGTTTCATAGATTTTTTGATGTAATTTTTTAGTGACATGTTAAGAATACACCAAAATGAATTATTCCAATTTTTTAATATGTATTTTTTTTTATTTCTGTTCCAATTCTTAAATAAATTGTATGAGAGGGAGGAAGTAATATAAATGGCCGTACATCAGAAGTCCGTCCACACCCACCCTGGGAGACAAAACGCCGAACAAAAGCCCACAGAAAACTCCATTTCTTTAATAACCTCACCTCTCGTACTTCAATTCCATCGTCTTCTTCTTCTTCTATTTCTATTCAAACGCACATGTATATATGGTGTCCGTTTATCCCAACCCGCCAACAGGTCCCGACTCCAATTTCTACTTCTCCGGCGATCCGATGAAACCCGCCCTTCCGGCGACCACCATGGATCCATTCTCTGTTCCGGCGGCTGATATTTCGATCCCGGATGACCTCAACAGGAAGGTCCGCAAGCCCTATACCATCACCAAGTCTAGGGAGAGCTGGACTGAGCTGGAGCACGACAAGTTTCTAGAAGCCCTCACTCTGTTAGCCCTCTCTCTCTCTCTCTCTCTCTCTCTCTAACATACTGTACATGCTAGGTTTTGTGTTGCATCTGATTATGTGGTGAATGAGTTGAATTGAAAAGTCCACTTTTAGAATCTAGCTGCCCAACTGTTCCATTTCATTTTTTTTACCTGAAAGTTTGGGATTTTTCTCTGTTTTCCTGTTTGTGTTTAGGAAAATGCTATTTGAAATGGATTCTTTCCCGTCCATTCCATCTAGCCACGTATGGAATAACCATTCAAACGTTTCTTGTTGTTCACCCTTGATTAGCGCACAACCGAATAAAATACTCCGTATTATTATTTTTTATTATCGACTGCAGTGAAAGGGGCCAAAGACATCTCATATTTATTGGTGCGATATGTGGTGTCATAGACAATGGCACCCCCCCCAAAGAAATAGACGTTCTACCTTCATCATCGATTTGCATTCGATAAAACAATCTATGATCTAACTATGATTGGTGCCCACAATGTTCAAGAACCCCTTGAGCATCACCGATATCAAGAATCTATGATATCTCAAATGGTTATAACAGATACACCTACTAAATTGGCCTTTATCAAACAATGCCGCCACTTTTCTTGACAGAAGACCATGACCTTTAAACATTTCTATTACCTGTTGACCACTTTCTTCTATAGGAATTCTAGTAGGCACAAAATGTGCCTTGTTCGGAGTCACAATCTCATGGTTATGCTTGGGCGTGAAGGAGTAGATAATTCACTTTCCGGTTTGTCGTTTGAACTTCAAACTCAATGCATCCTGACAACCTACTCTGATCAAAGCTGCCTATCTTTTTTTCTTGTCAAGCTGCCTTATTAAAGTACTCATTTCCATATGCTTGTACATCTTGTATGAAATCCATTGGCTAAGTTATATGCATTGTAGAATTGCTTAAATGCTTGAAGTGTATCAAAACTCATTCTGAATTCAGGTGCAATTCCAAGATCGTTTCATTCATCACGTTGGTTGGTGTTGAAAATGTTTCAATACCGTTTTATTAACTTATTCTAGACATAAAGCATGGTGGGAGCATGGGAGGGATTCAATTGAGTACAATCGCTCATCCATCAAAATTACTTCAGTTTGGCTACACTTACTTTATGTTCATGTTTCACCCTTTCTTGTCCAATACTCTATTTCATAGAGCATAGTTTGTCAAATTGTAGTACGATAAAAATTTCCATTGGGTTTTATAGGTACTCTTTTGTCACATATAAAGCCCGAAGCATTCTGCCATTTTGACCAACCTGCTTGAATCATGTAGTTTACATCATCCTTTATTTCTCCATGGGCAGAGAAGGATATTCTTCTTCCACTTTTGCTAATGCGTCTCTAACAGGATGGGAGTTAATGTCTTTCTTAGCAATACAAAGAGAATGATATGAATATATGATTCGATGAGGGATGTTTAACATCTTTCTTGCATGTAGCTAGTTATTTCAGTTGTGTATGAGACTGATAGAGTGCCCACATATGCAGTTATTTTATGTTATTACTCCCTCCGTCCCCCATAGATCTTCCCAATAGCCCTTTTTCTTTGTCCACAATAGATCTTCTCATTTCATTTTTTAACAATTAAAATACCACAACTACCCCCACTTTATTTATTACACCTCACCCACCTCATTTAATACACTCCATCCATTTTTCATTAAGGGTATTATGGTAAACTTTCACCTTTTTTCAACTCTCCTTAAAAACCACCAAAAGTCAAAATGAGAACATCTTAGGGGGACGGAGGGAGTAATATTTATGGTAGAGTCCGTTAGGATTATTGTTTATTGGGTCAAATGTTTTATTTTATATATATGTTAGTTACTTAGTAAATAGTGTGTATGTGGGCCTAAATTCTAGGAGTAGTTGCTAAGTAATGTGGTAGTGAACCTAAAGTCTAGGAATAGTTACTAAGTAGCGTGGTAGTGGGCCTGAATTATAGGGATTCGTAGTTATTTGGCTTCTATAAATATTGAGGTTCATTATTTGTAAAACTATCCAGAAAGTAATTCAATATTTATTATTGGAGATTCTCCTTGGCTTTATTATGTGTATGAGTTTAAGATTCTTGCTCATATTTCGATAAAGATTTCCATTCATCTTTATTATTTTATGAATTTAGATTCTGATTTCATAATTTGATAAAGACTATCCATCATTTTTTTTCCCCACCAATCTCGGGTTCTATCAGAGACCTAGTGGAACCAAAAATGTTCCTAAGAGTTTGCAACTAAAATACATTAGAGTTTGACCTTTCAAGAGGCTGTGTAGAAACCTCAACCAATCTTTTTGTTGATTCTAGATTAAGTTATTAAAGCAGTCCAATTATTATTGTTGTTGTTGTTGTTGTTATTATTGTTATTATTATTATTATTATTTATATGAATAAAATTATTACTGCAGTATTGTTATTTCTTTTGAAGTATTCACTTAAATTTTTTCTCCTTGGATATATCCAGTTTTGACCGTGACTGGAAAAAGATTGAAGCATTTGTTGGATCGAAGACGGTTATTCAGGTATGCAATATACGTCAGAGTCATCAGCCAACTAATTCTTCTGACCTTCCATTTTATTAACAGTGTCACGTTGTGCCACCATTAATCATTACCCATAGCATTTATAAAAGTTCAAGTTAAATTTTTGCAGATACGTAGTCATGCCCAGAAGTACTTTCTGAAGGTGCAGAAAAGTGGGGCAAGTGATCATGTACCTCCTCCACGTCCAAAGCGAAAAGCATCTCGTCCATACCCACAAAAGGCTCCAGCAGTAACTGGTTAGCATCGTCATCTTCGGTGTTTTGATTTTCTTAAATGAAATTGGAGTAGTATATTGTTCTTAATGAGTGTCGTACAGGACCACCATCCACTCAAAGTGAACCTGGATATGTGACCAGGCCGGATCCTCTGACTGTGCCTGCAACCTCTTTAGGAAGTGCAGTCTCACGTCCTTGGACATGCAGTAGTGTGCCTGGTTTAAGTCCATCACCTGCACCAAAAGGTAATATCATTCATTAAATCATTTTTGAAGTTTTCTCTATATGGATTTGAACAGTTGATATATCTTGGATAAAGGTTATTTACATTCTCTCCTTCCTCAGATGACATACAATTATTGGGTGCTAGCTGTAGTAAGGAAAGCACTCCCGGTGGTGTTTTAACTGCCAATGAAACCAGTGATCAAGGAAAAGACAAGCAAAACAAGGAAACCAGAGGTTAGTTTTCTTTTATGCATGTTCAGTTTGATACCTTGATCGATGTACTTTTTTTTTCATTTTATGTAAATATGTTCTTAGGGCATGGCATCATTCTTTAGTAGGAGAGGTGATTCTGTAGATTATTTGTAGGGCTATTATTTTAGCACGTGTTTATCTTTAACGTTATAGCATTAGCCTTATATAGCCATAGAAGAATGGGAATTACATTATCTCAAAACAAAATTGGATATCTTCATTTCAAGATGTATTTACGATTTTACACTATGCTGCATCTATCTGTTTGTGAATTGTTGAAGCATCATCTAAGTCTTGATATCTATTCGGCTGGTTGCAGTGGTGCCGGATTTTGCTCAAGTTTACAGTTACATTGGCAGTATCTTCGATCCAAACTCAAGTGATCACATGCAGAAATTAAAGCAGATGGACCCCATAAACGTTGAAACGGTATGCCTCTGCTGTAGAAATACCTGACTACTTACGTCAATGCGATAAAGATAACTTGAAAATGAGAACTGTTCCCCTCAACTTCCTATGAAGTAGTATGCTCTGTAACGGAGAAATTATATTCCATTTGGCTAGTGCATATTTTCGCTTTCTCTTGCGGTTTATTCTGAAATGTTTGATGCTTTGTGTTTTCATTGTAGGCGGTGATGTTGATGAAGAATCTCTGTATCAATTTAGTCAGTCCAGAGTTTGAAGACGTGGTAAGTTAAAAATCAAATGTTACCCACTTAAGTGTTTTTGTAAGAACTGTACGCAACGAGTTGATAAATGAAAAAACGTTATACTCATTTCGTTTCAAATGACATTGAGTTGAACTATGTTCCACGAATCTCTAGCGACTACGTATCTCTGCCCAGAGAATTTCGCACCTTTCCTAAAAGAAACTACGTATGTCTTTTTTAGTATCTGCCCCTGATTTGCCTCTATACATTTTGGTGCAGCGGAGGATGATAGTACAAGGAACACCATCTCAGGATCTACATATCAAATCTGTTAAGCATTTAAAATAAATGCATTCCCCAGCTATATTAGTGTGTTAGGGAAGTCAATTTTGCATCCTCTTTTTTTCCTTTTTTTTAAAGTTGTTGGTACTATACTATGCATAATGCATAAGATAAACTTGGTACTTTTTTTTTTGTTGTTTTTTGTAATATATGTTTTTAATGTACATATATGTTGGTGTAGGGCTTTTGGTCCAAGAAATTTCGAAATAAAAACAGGGTTTGTTTTAGTGGTATATAAATAGGTTTGAGTTGTGTATTGTCTCCATAATAAAAGAGGAAGTTTTATTATTGATTCGGTGAAATATGTGTTTGTGTACATATCTATCTTTATTTTACTAATGAATATATTGAATTTATTTTTTTCTCCATCCTATTCCAAACTCATCTTTGGAGTGACTTTTGATACGCTGTATGGTTAAAATTTATTAAAAAGGAGATTGCTCCGTTTATAAATACGGAGTAATATGTACTCATTTCTTTCTAAAAGTTGTTAAATGTAAATAATGCAATGTTAGGGGTATACCAAAGGTGTACCTTAAATGTACACCTCTTTTTTTATCACACATTTTTATTTTATTTTTATTTACTTTTTTTTTTGAATTTCTTACTTTTTTTGTAGACGATGGGGTGGGGGACAAATGGGATACACATTTGGTGTACCCCTAACATTTTTCATGTAAATATTATAGTGGGAGATCAGAGATGTGGTGATTGGTGACTGGTGACGCACTTCGGAATGAGGAGTTAGAAATAAGTATTGAAATTGATTTTTGTAAGTGATTTTAATTCATTAGAAGTATAATTAGTTATTTGAAAAAAAGGATAGAAATATAGAATAAGTTAAAGTTGAAAGTGACTATTCATGGAAATTTCTACTTCCAAATATAAATACTTTGTGTATTTTTTTCTTTTTAATTTAGTAAACAACTAAACATTTCTAATGAGTTTTTCATAATGTTGTATTGTTATCTTACTTTTCTTACAAAAATACCTACCTTTTATTGTATACTAATTTTCAAATAAATTGAATTAAAAATAGTTCAGTCAAATCTCGTAAACACATGCAATTTAAATTGGAACAGAGAGGGTATAATAGCTTTAATTGAAGGAAAGTTTACTTAAATAACACTAAAACATAATGACTTTTTCTAAATAGCATCACATGTATTTTTTCATAATGTAACACTTTTAGTCATTATCATTAGTCATTTTTCAAGTAATTGTTCGCTATCTATGGACATTATAAACGTTATTAAGTGCTATTTAAGAAATAAAACAATTTAAATGATATTTAAGAAAATGACTTAAGTTTTAGTACTATTTAATGGAAATATTTCTTAATTGAATTAAAGCTAATTTAATTCTATACTAGTTAAATTAGCATCGTTTCTTACAAAAATACCTACTTTTTATTCTATACTAATTTTCAAATAAATTGAATTAAAAATAGCTCTAATCAAATCTCGTAAACATATGCAATTTAAATTGAGACAAAGAGAGTATAATAGCTTTAATTGTTATGCGGAATATATCAAGAATTTTATTGTGAGCACATTTTTATGCAAAAGCACAAATGCTAACATAAATCTAATTATTAAATTGACCCGAACGTGATGATATACGACCGTGAATATTAATTTTCTAACCCAAACTCTATCGAACACACCCCAAATCGGACTTGATCGGCCAATTCATATCTCTATATAGAGTATAATTGTTTTACTTGAAAACATTTTGATGGATTCCGCTACTTCATGGACACCAACCACAAGTACTCAATATCGGGTCAACACTGCAACTATAGTGAATCTAACAAATACATATTGGAGTGATATTTATGTGAATATGTTGGATAAAAACATTTTATGTGATAACTCAAATCAAGAGAAAATTATAAGTTCATTATAGAGTAACCTAGGAAGAGCACACAATACATAGAATATGCTTTGGTAGCCATTAATAGTGCTTCCAAGTTGTAAAGGAAATTGGCCTTCCCTCCTCCTTTGCTTTGTAGCTTCTTTTATACATGCATTGATGATAATTCAATACAAAGACTTGCACAAACTCAACTCCGTCCTGCCCACCCGCCCTTTAAAACGTAAATATCCAAACAGTCGTACCTACAAAATAATATGGACATGTTTGAAATTCAAATTTAGGCATTCCCTTAAAAGAAGTCCTTATTTCTTCCCTTCATACACATGTACATTTTAGAAAGGAAAAAAAACAAATGAAATGGTGGCATATGTGTATGATGCACCTACACCAATTTAGTATTCTCCCAAACTCACATCTAATATAAGAGCCATTGAACACAACTACATATAGGGGTGCGGAGTGGACCGACCAAAAAAACATTTTGCTACAGACCAATGGCCAATGAAGAAGTACCAAGATGATACAAAATCAGAAAAGATGTTCTATAGCAAAAGTGAATAGTCTAAACAGGATATAAAATGCCAGACCAAAAAGGCCAGCAAGAAATGTCACTACTGGTTCTTTCGTTACACATACTTTCTGTATAAAGCACCCCCCCACCTCAATGCTCACAGGATTGCGCATTCAGTTTTTTAAACATCTAAAAGTCGCATGACCAAGTATATAATACATTGCACAGTACCAATAGAGCATTGACTAGCTGCAGTTGAAGGAAGCAAACCTCTCTGTATCTATCTATGTCGCTGACCCATATTAAGCTCATGACCATACATTCCTTGGCTATAGCCAGCACCAGCAAAAGGATGCATTTGCTTCGAGGTCCCCCTGCCTTCCATCTCAAGAAGTCTCTGGATTGCTCCAGGAGGTTGATTAGTTCCACGGTTTATAATATCAGCTGCAATGAGAACGAAGTGAGCTTTTGACAAAAAAGATGTAATTCTTGCTTTCTAATCTGGATGCAATGTACTCTATGGAAGAGCATTTGAATGCCAATCTGGCAGGAACAGCAGAAATGCTATCACGTGAAGTGTCTGGTAAAAAACCCATCTCAAAATTGTTGTCTAGTTCATCATATAATGATGAACCTTGAATGAAGTCGTTTCAGACTAAAATGTAATAATTATTTAGTATCAGTATATAAAATTTACATTATCTAACTAATTTCTATAAAAAAAAGATGAGGTTTTTATTATAAAAAAGGGTGAAAGTGTTTCCACCCAACTTTTTCTAAGGGCCATCAAGTGTTGCAAGTTTGCAAACAGATAGATCATAGAGAGAAAGGTGTTGGAAGGGCTGTCTTGGGCTAGAGAATGGGGTTGGGAGCATGGGGGTGAAGATGGAGTTGGGACCACCCCCATGCATAAAAAAGGAGTGTCCTAGCAAAAATTGGGGTTGAAGTAGCCTCACCCATAAAGAATTGTTAAATACAGTGGTTTTAAAACTTCAATTCCTAAGTAAATTTCATGTTCGGAAAAAGTTTTAGGGGGGTCATTCATAACATGTTAAAGTTTGTACTTGATAAAGTTGACTAAAAAAAGTTAAGTTGTACCCAAAGATGACTCTTTGTTGAGACGGAGGTATTAAACATCTTGGAACACATAATATGAGAATAAGACAGCGTGCTTACAGATTCATGGCTAAATACGAAAGTGAATAAGACAGTGTGCTTACAGATTCATTGCTAAATGCGAAAGAGAATAAGACAGTGAGCTTGCAGATTAATGGCTAAATGCAAAAGAGAATAAGAGATCACACATTGAAACCTTACCTCGCATTGGAACCCCAAAACCGTCAATGTTGGGTGGCTGCATCCCATATGATAACCCTTGCATTGGGTTCCGGTCCTGCAAAAAAGAAGCTGGCTGGTTGCCGCCAGGATGAGACATGGGACCACTTCTTATTTGGTCATGTAGCATGTGGGGATAATTTCCTGGCATTTGCACCTGTTGCTTCAATATAGGATGTTGGTTAGGAAGATCAAACCCTGTTTGATGAAATGGTTGACGCATCATATTTCCAGAAAACTGGTTCCTTGCCATATCTGGACCCATAACATTCATCTGTGAATTTGAATGTGCAGGAAGTGTCTCAAATGGATGAATGGATGATGATCTCCCTTGAGTCATTTGCATGGGATAAAACTGTGAAGATGACGGTTGAGCGGAAAGATTTTGGAACATCTCAGGCTCCACATGATGATCTTGAGAGCTATGTAGAAAGGGCACACCTCTTGGACCAACTGTAGCACCAGGTAACAAAAACTCACCTCTATTCAAGTTTATATCACCTGCATGCAGTGGGACCTGGGGGTGTACTGTGTTTCCACCATTAAATAATAAGCTGTCATCTTTGGGCAACCGTAATCCTAGTAGCCCATCAGGATCATTATTTTTGAACGAAGTCCAATCAGTTTGGTACTTTGAGTTAGGGTCAATTAGAGAATCATCAAACCCTAATAACACTGGATTATCAAGTTTATTTGTTCTCTCTCTATCAACGAAGATGCTATTGTCATTACTCGCACTTCTGGAACCTCCCATGTTATCAGTCTGTCCAAACGCATTTGAGCCACTCTGGATAGAAACAGGAGCTTGCATGGATTGTAGCTCATTCATAAATGCAGTTCCAAAAAGTGTTTCAAGAGTTATTGTTTTACCAAGAGTGTGATTTCCTTCTTCCACTGACTTACTATTATCTTCAGCACAAGAATTAGAAATCTTATTGTTACCAAGATCTGGTCCTTTATGTAATAAAGAAAGAAGGTGCTGAGACGCATGATCATCAACAGGCCCCTTTCTTGGTTCTTCGGGCATAGGATTTGTACTCCAACCTGGCAACAGTGATTGCAAATTCGAACTGTTTTCACTATACTCTGACAAAATAGTCTGCTCAAGATCTTCACATGTAAGGACGGATGGGACCACCTTGTCTCTATTAGATGCACATTGTGGTGGTTCACAAATCTCAGGTGTTGCAGCAGCTAGTACATTAGGCATAATGGTATCAGGGGTATCACTAGAGCACATAACATCACAAACTTGTGGTATGTGGTTATCACCGCCCACAATTAATGAAAGTAAATCACTTGGTGTATTAGATGTGGAATCACCTCCTTGCTTGGTTTCTACTGCAGTATGGTATATCACTACTTAGACAGGATATTCAAGAGTCATGACAAATAAGGTCAGAGATGGGGAAAGCATTGCATACCTTCTTCAGAGAACCAATGTGCAAACTTTGAAGATTTAATGTTTCTTGAGCTCCTTTTATCATCAGGATTTGTATCTTCGTACTGTGTAGAGAAGAAAAGAAGCATATAGGTAAGCCGCAAGTAAGATGTATAAAGCA